CTGCAACCTTAAATATACCTCAAAACAACTTCGATACCTCAAAAATACCTCAAATCAACCTTAAAAATACCTTAAATTTTCGTAAGGGTTACTTTCTTGTGCTACAAACTACAATGAAGCTTTTGTGAGTTTGTGACTGGTTTCTTGAAACCACCTTCAACCCATTTTATCGCAATTTTTATGAAGTTAATGCCAGTAATAAAGGAAATATCAGTAAATTTGTCACATATATTAGTTTTTAGTAAATAATAATGCATTTATTTAAAGTTTTAACGACAATTTATAAAAGGAGAGTAACGTAATATAACCTCAATAATTGACGTAATCATGAGTTAGAATTCCCTTGCCGTCGAGCTAAACGTGGAAAGCTTTCATAATTCCCTTTTCTTCTGGGTTTGGTTCGAAATTATAAAGCTGCGGAGTTGAGCAGTAAACTAAGTTGATAGCTGTTAACTTAAAATTGGAGCGTTCGTTCAATGCCAATTATAAAAAATCATTAAGCTGACATTAGCATGCGATATTACTATATAAAATAAAATTAGGAGGTAAAATATATACTCGCCGTTTTAAAGTTTATTTTAAACTGGCAACACCAAGTTTTGTAATTTAAATTATATATATTTTTAATTCCAAATATATCAATTTTAGCTTTTAAAACTGCTCCTGATTAGAGAGAAAAACCATTAAAGGTACCGTATTTAATTAATTTTCAATTAGAAATATCTTCAAGATTTTAAATAATTCATATAAAATTCATTCAAATCTAAAATAAATTAAATTCAAATGTTCTACTTTTATGTATTAACAGAATTTTAATTACATATATGTACAATGCGCAAGAGAAAAGAAAAAAGTGAGAACTCTCAATAACTTTCAATTTAATACTTTTCGCGCACTAAAACTCAATTTTAATGGTTCGCTAATGGATATGCTAATTAATTAATGATATTTTAAGTTACGAAATCAGACGCAAAAAGGTACTTTTTCGGAACAAACATTCCTTTATTTTCATAGGACTTGTATCCTTGACTTTCAAAGTATGATCGGTATCCGTAATAGATTCTCAACAATATGGCCTGGAGAACTGTCGAGAGTTTGGATTTCTCAATGTTAATTTCATTTCTCACGTATTTCGCCACATCTCGAGAATTTTTTTAATAATTCGCAAAATTTTGACACACAATTATGAAATTCGTTTATTCAAAAGTAATTCCATGCCAAAAAAAAAAGTTTTTAATAATTATTTATCATTTCTTAATAATTTCATTTCATAAAAGTGAGAAATGTTTAAACTGCAAATTTTTATATAATTTTAAGGAATGTAATTCTAAATGGAAAAAATACTAAACTGTAACGTAATTGATCGAATAGTTTGAATTATATTTAAAATTTGATTTCACATGAACTATTTGACCGATTTCGCTTAAATTTTGTATTTAGCTATTTAAAATTACACTCAAAAATCCACGTCCGCATAGAATAAGTTATGTTTGTTCAAAGGAAAGTACATTTTTCTTTCTGATTTCGTAACTTAAAATATCTAGCAAATCTGAACAAGTTAATTAGTGTTAAGATTAGTCCCCATCGAACCAATATATAAATAATCAACTTTTCCATGGCTGAAAAAATTGAAATACACTTAAAAATTTTCAAAAACTTACTTAAAACATTTTATTTTGATTCATTTTAAGCATTTAGATAGATATTTCCTTTTTTAAATCTTTTTATAGTATGACTAATTCATTTGCCAAATTTCACTGCAGGATTCAGCGCTATAAAAGAAAAAGAAAAATCCATAATAAACTTTCCAATTTCTTTCTCACTTAGATCTTATCTGATAATGAATGAGTTATTTTTTTGTTTTGTTTTTTATTTCCTGTGTGTTTAAAAAGGTAAGTGTGGAAAGAAGGTTATACTTCAAAAGATCTATTTTTATTTTTTCATTTGAAGAGTTATTAGTACACGCAGTTAAAATAAGCCTTTTACAAATGTAAGAAAATAATTTATTTTTAAATAAATGGGCAAATCTGCGCAAATATTGATTGAAGTAATTTAACCAATAATACGCATCGATTAAAAAAATTTTGTGAAAAACAAATTTTTCGAAAAATGATAACTGGAAATAAATTTCCTATTTCTTTAGAAAAGAAAAAGTATATTATCAACAATTAATTTAAACTCGCTCACGTTTATCAACCCTTAAATATTTCTATGCAATTTCAAGTGTTCGCTTTTCAATCCAAGCTAGCATGTTAAATTCATTCAAAATGCATTTTTGTATTTCTAACTATATATAAAAATCTAATGATGGTGTCNATACAGGGTAACAAAAAAATATAGGGATCATTTTTGAATGTTTATATTTCCAAAATTTGTTACATAAATTCAGCGATGTTTCTCAATATGTCGACCTCCGGCATAATAGATTTGTCTACAACGCTTCGGCCAGGATTTTAAAGCCCGCAAAATGATTTCCTGGGGAATTTTCTTCACCTCTTCTCTAATAGCTCTTTGAAGGCCTCTCAATGTAGAAATTCTTCTGTTATTCAGTTTGTTTTTCAGATGTCCCCATAGGAAATAGTCGCATAGTGCAGCATCAGGACTGTTTGGAATCCATTGTTCTGGTCTCAGGAATTGCACTTGCTGATCTGTTAGGAATTTCTGGGTGACCTTAGATGCATGCGATGGGGCAGAGTCCTGATGGAACACAGCATCACCATTAGGGTATAATCTGCAGTAATCATCCTTAAGAAAGTGTTTTAATATCTTCTGTATATAATACTCAGAATTTATTTCGGCTGGTTCATATTAATAAAAGTCTATTTCCTTAAAAATATTTACGTATCCTAAATTTAAAGGTAATACCCGTAATATTTATTTTTCTTACTTTACTCAGCTATAATTACGCTTTTGACTTCGATTGTTTTTTAAATTATGAATTTAACAATAAGAGTTATTTCTTTATTGTGCATGTTCGTTCCAAAAAATATTGCCAACACTTTTCCATGAAATAACCAACGGAGTTCCATGTGCAAAAGTAATGTTTTATGTAAACCATACTTTTGCAGAATAAATTGTGAACATGACTTATACGAAATATAATATTTTATTTAATTCATAAAATATTTATTTATATTTATTTTTACAAGCATAATGCTTTTAAGAATTTGATATTTCGTGAAAATCAACATTTTAATAAAATTTTGGACTTTGATTAAACAAATAGAAATCACTTGCGGAACTCCTATACAAATTCCAAGGAACCCTAGTCCCAGGGATTTCTCGGAACACAGGTTGAAGCTTGAAGCTGGTAGTAGTACCCAAATAAACGTCTTTAAATTTGCTTATTTTTGCTAAATTCATTTTTTACATCATTTTTACTCCCATCAAAAGAGAATCCTTTTTTTCCAGAAGAATCTCACTGATAGCCATTTTCTATTTATTCTTAGAAATTGTAAGTTTGGCTGTTCTTGCCACTTTTTATTCTATTGCATAATTTTCGACTAATATTCTTCGAAAGAAGAATTACGTCTTTGTAGTTTTTCATTCTCTAGAAATGTATCAACCAAGCGAGGAACACATAGAGCAGGCGAAGTTGGACGAGACAGATGAGAGATTATCGGAGATCCACAACAACATCCATCATATTGAAAGAAGAATAAGACTAGCTGGTAAATCTCTAATTTAAAGGGCTCGAAAAAACTCAGAAATTTTACGACTTGACCCCGAGGACGGCTTGTTCAAAAATGTACCCGTCCACCTTTGAAACTAACCCGTAGCTTCTAAATAAATAAAAATATAGATTTCTCTTATTTGTTACAAACATTTACATAAATTGCACCATGAATTAGTAGTTAGTAGGATTACAAATACTGGAATTACCTTATACAGTAATAAAAGAAATACTAGGTCACTAATAGTAACCTAGTATTTCTAGTGACGAAGGAATTAATGGGATTTCTAGATTAGAGGGTCATTTTAGAAGTGAGGCGCTAGACACTTGTAAGATAACAAAAATTGAAAATGTATCACAAACATTAACGGGAAAATGGCCATCCGCGCGAACGTCGGATTCAAGAAATTCGTTGTCCGCGGGGAATTTTTGACCGCCGTGGACGGGCGGTTTTTTCGAGCCCTGAATTTATTTATTTATTTACAATCTGTCTACACACTGTAACACATTGAAATCGTCTGCCAATCTTTTCTCAATAAAACCAGGTTGGCACGGATCATTTTTGAAGCTGGTTTGAATTGAATAACGGCTACCTGTTTTTGTTCTGTTCATCTGAGAACTAGAATTTAGCATGATAGTGCAGTGTGTCTACCACTACAAAAATACAATTCCAATTCACTAGTATGATATAAGACATGTTAACTCGATTCTATGATGAGGTACCTTTTCATAGATGAAGGTTGACATGGTCGATAACTAATCTCATCACAGTCGTGACCTTCCGGCGTGATATGAACACACCTACTTTGACAGAAACCCTAACTTCGATCTGAACACGCCCACTTCGATGAATTCCACCACATTGAAAAGTTGACTTGCTACTCGTGACTGTGGCATTATCTACCTCCTCATGCTGTTGCTACTCAGTCTCGATCACACACAACGTCCGCCTGAATACACTCGACTGCTAACGGCAACACAGGAGCAACCACGACAGTGAGCTTAATACAACTCTCACGATCAGCATTTTAAAGGTACGGTGATATTAATACAGCTCTCCCGGCTTCTCACAAAACAGCAATGAATCAACTAGTGGAATCTATTCATCGAATTCTAAGCTAAAATTCAGCTAAAATTCAGGTGGGGGAGTACTGTAGTGGTTCTGCCGCTACAGTACTCCCCCAAACAGTTCCAATTCACTAGTACATAAGACATGTTAACTCGATTCTATGATGAGGTACTTTTTCATAGATGAAGGTTGACATGGTCGATAATTACTATCCCCACAATAGTAACTGGATAGTGAAAGGGATCGACATTATATATATACACTGGTGGGCAATTGCAAAGGACCAAACACATAGGATAACCCGAAACATTTGAGAATAACTCAAGAAACTCAGTTAAACTTTTACATGAAAGTACATCAAACTAATGATAAAAAAGATGTTAAAAAAAGTTTGAGTTCCAAAGCAACCCCGTTCCCTCGCTCACTTAACTTTTCTTTAAGCTCTCGTACTCATCGCTTTTTGTCATTTAACTTTGATTAGATAACTATTGTTTCATGGTTATTTGTAACCATATTTCGGAATATTATGATTCATTCGGAATCATTTAATGAACTGTTTTTTGTTATTGTATTTCTTACAGTAAAAATTGCTATTGTTTATGAGCTATTTCCTTCAGTTATTATTTATTTCCTATGGATAATAACTTATTAAGGTAAGTTAGACCCTCCAGTTGGGCACGGCAGCAAAATAACCCAAAAATGATATAGCAAAATGGTTCCAGTGGAGCATATAATGTGGGGTATGACCACCCTTAACGACCAGGCAAGTTTTACAACGACTTTTAACGAGATTGTACATTTGGTTTTGGGGTAATAAACACAACTCCATTAAGATAAATTTTTGGAATGGGAAACGTTTAGGGTGTGATGGTGAGATGATGCAAAAGCCTTGTAAAGAGCATCAGACGTGATCTCTGTGAGATTAAGGTCTAGAGAACTGGTTGGCCACGTTATTACATGAATATCTTTGGCTTCAAGGTACTTCGTGTTGTAAACATTCCTTGTCTACCATGTATTTTAAAATACACTAGTAGATTTTTATTTATATTGAACTCGAATCACCTGAACCTCATCTTTGGCGTTACAATTAATAGATTTTTCTTTTCATATTTCACTAATGCATATTCTTATTCGATCCAAATCATAGTTCGAAGACTTTGAGAGCTCGCAAGCACCAGTTGAAAGAAATCGTCGAATTAGTAGAATTTTTGTTTTGTAACTGCTTTGAATTAGCATTAACAATGACATCTTACATTGCACTTACATTGCATTGCATTAGCACTAACATTGACATCGCGTCGCGAATATTAAATTTCAATGTTGCCTAACTGTTGGTTGACCATTTTTTATGCCGCAGTGTCACAACTAACAGAAAATGCGAACTGAGTTTCAAAACCTAGACAGAACTGCTTATTAAGGGAATTATACATTCTCAACTGAAAATGAATTATCAGTTTTTAAAAAAATTAAATAAAATGAAATGAAATATCATAAATCGTGCTTAACTCGATCATATTTATTTCCGTATTATATAATTCGACTTTTATCTCCGACGAATCGGTAAGTGCTGCCTTCGGCCGCAGACGCCGAGCTTGAGAATCTATGCTCACTGTGAGACACAATCTTCTCTGAGCTCTGTTTTGATTAATTATGCTTGTTACATTACAAAAATAAATATATAGATTTTTTTTTTAAGTTTAAGGAAAATGGTTGATTTTTCCCCCCTTCTATTTGGAGGCATAAAATTATAATCGGATTGACAAAAAATTAGATGGGATCGAATGAGGAGCATCACATCACCCTCTAAGTTAAGTGCGCTCCCACTAATGCCCGATTTCGATTGCCATAGAATCAGGCACAATGGATATTGTCATTTTAACCCCTTGACATACCATTTCTTGTTACAGAAATGATCTTTGATTGCACTGTAAACAGCAACTCGCGACGGAATAATTCGCTGACAGAGATGCCAACTGCTCCGGACACGCCAAAATAATTTTTAAAAAAACAGTGAATAACTACAAACTATATTTTAGAAATATTTGACTATTTTTGCTTGCTTTTTAAAAGGTATAGCATGACATAACTACTATAAAATGGTGTATTATATAAAACTATTAATTATTTAGAAATAGTGGTGGATAAAAATCTACTAAATTGAATTTAAACCAAGAATCACAATTGATAAACTACCACTTTAAAATATTTATTTGCTGTCTGGAGCAAATTGATATCTTTGTGTTGGAGACGTCTAAGACAAGTCAATTATTGTTTTGACATAAGAAACAAATTGTGTTTCCCAGACGTCTTCCTATGTCGTCTTTCAACTCACACAAAAGCCACCGATTAATTACAAAATCTGTTTGCATAGTGTATCTCTTATAGCTCTCAGTATATTGTTTTAAAGTTATTTAGAAAAGTAAAAGATATTAACTGTGTTAGAAAGACTATTTGTTATGCTCTTTTAAACCAGAAAAAAGATGTCAAACAATTTTAAATATTTCGAACATTTTATATTATGGCAATAAACTATTCGTGTAAAATATTTTTTTCATAGTTGCCAACTTATGCGCTTTTTCTGAAAGATTATTTCCAAAGTAGTTACAAAATATCTGCTTTATGGTTTGAATATTTGGATAATAAATGTGATTTAAAATGTTTTCGACCACCGCCGCGTACATATAATTTAACTATAAATGCAGTTCAAGAAAAAATAAGTTTCGGAAAAATTAAACAATGTTAATTTCTGTCCCTCTATTATAGAAAATATTTTCCCCGAAAAATTTAACATATCAACACTATGATTTAACATAATATTTTTTGGCATAGCAGCCTTCCAGTACGTCTTTTTTTAATAATATTAAATTTTGGGTGTTACCATTGCTAGTGACTATTGTTTGTATGTTGTAGATTCAGAGAAAAAAGTTGATGTAGAAGCCTGCAATGTGGAGATGAAGAAAAATGATCTAGAAATAAAACAGCTCATGATGCAAGTCAAAGAACTGGAAGTTAAACTTATACGATCTCAGAAAGTAAGCATCTTGACGACTGGTGTTTTGTGAACCAATTTTCGTTATTCCATATTCCCTGTCCTTGCTTAAGAAGACTATAGTACAGATTCAGTGAGGAATACATAAATAAAACTTGCACTAAATACAGATTCAAGTTTTATCATTATTATCATTTTATTTAAATTTATAAGTGTTTGAGGCTGAAACATCATCGTGTCTAAACCATAGATCACAGTAAATGAGTTCGCATATCTGAAGGCTTGAACTTTTGCGAACTGATGTGCTGCTAACTCTAGCCACAGTAATAAAGCACCGAGCTGTCATTGCGTAGATCCTATCGGCTTGAAGCCTGTCCAGCTTCATACTGACATGTTGCTAACTCTAGCCACAGTAATTAAAGCACTGAGCTGTTATTGCGTTGGTCCTATTGGCTTAAGGCCTGTCCAGCTTCATATAGCTGTATCAGCTTATCTGGGAAGTAAAGGCTGCGCAGTACCTTAACCTCTATGACCCCTGAGACAACAGTTGGAAACTGTTTTTTTTTTCCCTATGGATTACTGATAACATGTGAAAAAAGTCAACGTGAAACCAGGGAACTCATTTCTGCAAACAAAATTCTATGATCCTACTCCAATAAATTAGCATAAATTCGGGAAATTAACAATTCAAAACAGGGCTTGGAATCAGCTTGAATTTGGTGCCGATTAAAAGCTTTATCATACTTATAATGGCAACAATCGGGGAAAAATATTCTAACCCACTAATCACCAACAATCCAAAGTTATAAAAAGGTAATCAAACTAATAATTTGAAGAATCTTTATAATTTTATTAAACTGAACGACCCAATTCTGAGTCTACCAATATTCAACTCCGTAGCCTTATAATTTTGAACCCAATAAAGAAGACAAGGGATTTCTTGGATCAAGCATTGGGAAAAATTTGTCTTCGTGGAGGAATTTTTGATAAAACTACCCCACAATTGCATTACATGGAGAGGAAAATCCACGAAAACCATCCACGATTAGCCTGACGGCAAGAGGACTTTGCTCAGTCCATCACTGAGGATATTTTATGTCAGCATTGTAGTCGGTGCAAGCCAGGTGCGGAATTCAATCACCCCGCTATCGCTGGTATTCGAAGCCGATTCACCTCATTGGGAGGCGAGCCCTTTGACCCCTTAGCCCCCACGGCTTTAAATATGCTTTCTAAAATATTCACATGAAACCAGATTGAATAACATTCGAAGTAAGTAATTTATTGTTATACATGTTCTCTTAATATCGGATGTATTTTTTATATATAAATATAATAAACAAGCTTTCATCTCATTAGGCTGACGAAAATGTAATAGCTAAAGAATGTCGAGAAAGATCAAAAGAACTTGGAAACTTTAAAGGAAAATCAGCTAAGGTAACACGCTTTTGTTTTTACATCTTTTTCCGTTTGTTTCCTTTTTTCCCAAATCTGTAACCACAATACAATCCCTCCAAAATCAGTGAATAAAGTTTGAACCATAAGAGTAAAATAATTTAAACCCCGTTACAAGAGACATTTTATTTATTTATTTATCGCTTAAAAGTTTTAACAAATGAAAATACGAAGAATAATTCGAACTCATTCAAATTGCATATGAAAAAGAAGAGCTTGAGGACAACATAGTAATAAGAAGCACTTTTTTCCAATTGTTATATTTATACATCAAATTATTCCTCGGCAATGTTTCAAGATTCTAGAACTTCAACTAGGCAATAATACAACAGGCAAAAACAATTTATTACTTATGTGGAAATCATCGTATTTTTCTTTAATTTTTGAAAATGATGCTTTTTATTATACTGAACCGAGCACCACAATTTCACATATTGTTAAATAAATGATATTCCTTCTTCATTTGAATTTTTTTTAAATTATAAACCAGGATCTTTTAGGAAATAAAAAAAGCAAAACTAGTAATTTTCCATATTAAATATAAGAAAATGATGCTCACAACTTTCTGGATCAATATTAAGAGGGTTGTAAATTAAATAGTGGCAACTTAACCTTGAAACTCACAGAAGGGCGGGCATGCGTAAATAGGGTATGGGTGGGGGGAGGTGGCACTGTTGTCGATGTGTAGAGTGCAAAAAAAAGTCGATTTGCTTAGAAGGGTAGTTGTTGCGTGGCGTTAANCAACCCCCGAAAATTGCTACGCAATCTTATATGGTTTGCTTCGCAAACCAAGCTCGCTTCGCTCGCTACTAACTTAGGTACATTGCAAATGCACAAAATTCTAAGAATTCGAAACGATCATTCAAATCCATATAACAACTTATTTTTTAAAAAAAATTACGTCTTTTTAGTAAATACTAAGTCATTAAAATAAATTTGAATTCAAATAAATGGCATGTAATTCGTTAAGAATTCATTAGAAATGTGCTATAGTGTATAATCTTAAGATAAAATTTCTAAAACTGTTATCTCTTTAAGAAGGTTAAAATTTTGGCTATAATTAAGTCTATTAAAAAATGAAATAAGTGAATTGCAATGGAAAAACCTGCATAAACAAATAAATTCTAGTAAAACAAATAAATTCGTGATATAAATCAAAAATCGCCAAATAAATTCGTAATATATAAATTCGTGAAAAAAAGCGCTTCCGACAAAATACTAAAATAGAGATCTATCGACAAAGACTACTCACTTCTGCCTAGCTTATGCTCTCTCTGGTTATTTCAGTTTCTGTATTTAAAAGAGCTATATGTTGAGCCACCTCAGCTAGATTTGGCATGTGACATTTTTAGCGGTAATCATTTCTTGATTTTAAAGCTTTGCCATTCGGGGAGTTGTAATGAGGCTTTTTTTGTCGCCGTGTAAGAGAAATATATATATAGATTTTATCGTTTGAGTTTTAACAAATGAAAATATGAAGAATTATTCAGACGCACCTCAAAGTGCATATGAAATTGAAGATCTTGAGGACAACGTAGTAATAAGGCGCACTTTTGTGATATTTATACATCAAATTATTCCTCGGTAAAGTTTCAAGATAGATAGATTCTAGAATTTTAACTAGGCCATAGCACAACAAGCGAAAACAATTTGTTACTTATATGGAAATCGTGGTATTTTTCTCTAATTTTTGAAAATGATGTTTTTTATTATACTGAACCGAGAACCACAATTTCGCACATTTTTCAATAAATGATATTCCTTTTTGATATGATTTTTTTATTATTTTAAACATGGATCTTTTAGGAATTAAAAAAAAAAGCAAAACTAAAAATTTTCCATAATAAATATTAGAAAATGATGCTCACAACTTTCTGGATCAATATTATATCAAAACATACCTTTTGACCAATGTTAATATCCCAACTATTAATGAAGAAGTTGTAAAACGAAGATATAAATGGCATCGTAGCATATTAAGAACAAATAAATTCTATCTTGGAGAAAAAGCATCGAAGCCTTATGTAGCAGTTTGATCTGATGATAGATAGGTGGATACTAAACCTGGACTTTAGCTCAAAGGATGGAGCGTTCACTGGAGTTAACCAGATTCTAATCCTAGCAGTGGTGGCTGATACGAATTCTTCTCCAGACTCGCACCGATCACAGTGCTGTCGTAAAATATCCTCAGTGGTAGACGGATCCTACGCTAGAATCCCCTTGCCATAACGCTGACCGTGGGAGATTTTCCTTTTTTTCTCTTCCATGTACATCAAATGAGGGTTAGTTCTATTAAAAAATCCTCCATGAAGGCAAATTTGTCTCAATTTTTGATCCAGAAGTTCCCTTGTCCTCCGGATTGGGTTCAAAATTACATATGGCTATGGAGTTGAACATTTTGGAAGTCGTAAACTCAAAATTGGGTCAGCTATTCCAACGATGGTTACAAAATAAAATAAAAACCTTTATTTTAAGTTGATTGAAAGTATTTAGTAACTTAGATAAGCTGTATAATACTTTTGTTCGTACTGAAATTTTACTTCTGTTTAGCTTACTTATTGCATCAGTAACCATAATCATTTTATGCAACATCAGATCACAGTGCGAAAATTTTCTATGAAAAGCACAGTTTTAAAAATTAACCATACTATTTAAAAATATAGTAAAATGTTCTTACCAGTTAAAAGTTTTGAACAGCTTCGAATTTCTCAAGCCGCGATGACGCAGGGGATAGAGCGTTCGCCTTCCAATGCGGCGAACCGGGTTCGAATTTCAGTCGATACGAATTCCGCATCCGGCTTGCACCGACCACAGTGCTGACGTGAAATATCCTCAGTGGTAGATAGATCATGCATTAGAGTCCCTTTGCCATCAGGCTAGCCGTAGGACGTTCGCGTGGTCTTCTTCTCCATGTTCGCAAATACGGGTTAGTTCCATCAAAAAGTCCTCCACGAAGGCAAATTTCTCCCAACACTTGATCCAGGAGTTCCCTTGTCTTCTAGATTGGGTCCAAAATTACAAGACTACGGAGTTGAACATTAGTAATCGTAAACTCAAAAAATTGGATCGGCTGTTCACCGACGGTTATAAGAAATTAAAAAAAAGGGCACTTTAATTTTTTAATTAATTGGTAAATCATTTCGCGTCATCACTTAATTCTTTATTCTAGGAGGCAATTAATCTAGCTGATGCTGATGTTTTGGAATTGGATAAAAAATGTAAGGCAACCGGGCACGAACTGGAGCTTTTGAAACTTGCTTTTATGAGCAGCGAGAAGCAATTAATAGATATGGAAACAAAATGCAATGAAAATTTCGAAAATGACCCAACTGAGTTTGACAGTTTACAGGTGTGTATATGAAATGTTAACAGTGTTGCTTGTTGAAATTTTTTCTCATTATGATTCCCTTTCCCTAAATTTTACTAATACAATTCCAACGGTAAAATCTTCTACTTTTGAAGTGATGCAAAAGAAAAATATTAATACATAAATAAATATTAACGAAAAATAAGAAGCTGCTTTTCAATAGTATTGCGTTATTAAGAAAATAATTTCGGTCATATGCGGAATTATGTCAAATGCATAAACGATGTAAAAAGGTATATCAACAAGGGGATATTATCTTTGTAACCATGGTCCCAAAGTATATGATTGCTCTGTTTTTTATTTTTCTAGTTTCTAATTCTTTAATTCCATTGCTTTGAGTTCCATAATAATTGATCTAGGTTCTTGTGATATTAATCTTTACAAACAGAATGTGCAATGCATCAAAATATCCTCAAATGTACATATAAAGCATATCAAATATACTTTCCAAATCCAAAAAATGTAAGAATAAAAAATTACATAAAAACAATAACTCCAAATTGTTTGGGAGAGGCAAATATTTATTAATTCCTTCGAATTATTTCTTTTGTGACTTACTAATGTCTGTTATGCAATATTTTCTCTCCTTTTTTTGTTTCAGAGAATAAGAGAACTTGAGAATGAACAGCAAAAATTTAACAGGGATATTCTTGAGTGTGAGGTAGCACAGAACAAATACAAAACGATGAAAGAGCAGTTACAAACGGTAAATAATGATTGACACTTGTGAATTTAAATTATAGCTTTTAGATTATTTTTACAATATTTTTAATGGCTAAAGTAAAAATGAATTGCAATAAATAAAAACAATTTCATTTATTTATCAAAGGAACTAGGAAATAAAAGTGAGCAAAATTATAATATTAGTTTTGAAAGCTTAGTAGCTATACATAACTACAAAAAAAAATCGTTACAAATAATTATAATATATTCTATAAAATCCATTATTAGACAGATTAACACTGTTGAGGATTTAAAATTGGCGTGAAAACTTCATAAAACTGTCCATTTTTAATTGCCTGATGAGGAGAAGCTCGTTCTTCCCAAAACACGCAACTTTATTTTTCTATGTATAATGATTTAAGAAATCTTATTAAATACTTACATTCTTAACAAGATTTTTTTTTTTAAATATTCCTTTCAAAGTAGCTAGAGGAATGCAATTGAATGTTTTAAAGACAATGTAGAGTTAAAATTAAGCCCCTCTCGCAACAGTCAGTTCTCACGGAGGTTAAGGGTCCATGTTTTCGTGACCAACGACATGATGATGGCAGTACAGTCAGAACCACGCACCAACTCCCCAGATTAGCTAGTACCCATTTATCTAAATTTTGTTAAAGGATAATAATGCTTTTACATTGCCCAGCTGATGACTGACTGATTTCAAAATATAGAATCTCGGAAACAAAAAAGCGATCGAAAAATGAAACAACCGTTACGTTGTTTGTGAAAACTGCAAAAATTTTAAACAGAGATTTCGGAATTTGGTAATAAATATTGCCGACAAATGGCGCAGCAAACCATTGACGACCAGGTTCTAGCGTTAAAATTTTAAAGGAGTAATTAGTCGATCAGGATAAGGAGGTTTAAGCCGTATGGTATACAGGAGGTCGTACCCGTCGTAGAGAATTAGTAGGTTTAATGTATTTTGTTGAATAACATATGTATCAGGTACTGGAATTTCACAGTTTGATTACAGTTTTACGACCTTTGAGCTTGCACAGCGTACCGCGCCATCTATTGGTAACCTTTGTAACTAAGTTCCAGAATTTCTCTATAAAAACATTGGTTTTCATTAAAGACATACCGTTTGTTCCCCATCTCTATTNATATTTAATGTTCCTTCAAACATAAAAAGAGTCCTACAAAAAATTTTGATAAAGTTGCGGCCCGCCATTTGATTTGTGTTTTTAGTTGTGGCCCCCGACCTCATGCAAGTTGGAAACCCCTGAGCTAGAGGAATGCAATTGAATGTTTTAAAGACAATGTAAAGTTAAAATTAAGCCCCTCTCGCAACAACCAGTTGTCACGGAGGTTAAGAGTCCATGTTTTCGTGACCAACGACATGATCAACGACAGTCAGAACCACGCACCAACTCCCCAGATTAGCTAGTACCCATTTATCTAAATTTTGTTAAAGGATAATAACGCTTTTACATTGCCCAGCTGATGACTGACTGACTTCAAAATATAGAATCTCGAAAGAAAAAAAATGATCGAAAAATGAAACAAACGTTACGTTGATTGTGAAAGTTGCAAAAATTTTAAACAGAGATTTCGGAATTTGGTAATAAATGTTGCCGACAGACAGCAAGCCATTGACGACCAGGAGCTATCAGTTCTAGCGTTAAAATTTTAAAGGAGTAATTAGTCGAACAGGATAAGGAGGTTTAAGCCGTATGTGATACAGTAGGTCGTACCCGTCGTACAGGATTAGGAGGTTTAATGTATTTTGTTGAATAACATGTGTATCAGCTACTGGAATTTCACAGTTTGATTACAGTTTTACGACCTTTGTATTATTAAGAAACTTGTACAGCGTACCGCGCCATCTATTGGTAACCTTTGTAACTAAGTTCCAGAATTTCTCTGTAATACCGTTTGCTCCCCTCCTCTATTATCCTTTGTTTTCATAATTTTCAATTTCGAAATCAGTCAGTCATTCGCAAGACACCTTGTAAATGATGACTTAAAGAAATGTCAATAAGAACTTTACAAAGTTTCAAATAAATATTTTATATATATTTTACCAAAATATATATTTTATTTTAATTCCACTTTTATTCCATTTTTTTTTTCCTAAAGAAAAAAAAAATGACTCAAGGCAATGCTGAAATTAATATAATTTTTAGCACTATCTAAAAATTTATGGCTTCAAATCGATAGTAATACTAGTATAATTCACACTGAAGCGTTAGAAATTTTTTTTTTTTTAGTTTTTGTGCTCTGCGTCGAACCATACTAAAGTACGTTTCGATTCAGAGCTTTTAACATTTTTAATCTAAAGCCTCTTTATAACCTTTGAAACTTATAACGATATTAAAAAATATCGATGTTACATGACTCATCAACCAACATGCTTTAAAATTCAAATTTCCCAACAATTTTATGCATTCCTTCCGTAGAATCAACTCTCTTATCCAGTACTTCTGCTGAATGTTGAAAGAGAATACGAGTCTCAACAAGAAGACGCTAGTCTTTTAGATATAAGAGGAATCGAAAATCCTGAGACACTAACATCAAAAGGAATTGGCAACGGAGATTTTGGAATGAAAGAAACGACTCATGAAGATAAAGTAATAAAAAAAAATCCTTCTTATCGAGAAAAAAAAATATCCTTATCTAACAAAATCGTTACAATATTATAATTATCTCATTTCGTAGAAAAAGATAAAAAAATAAATAAATTAAAAATTATTCAAGGAAGAGAAATACATTAGCAAAGAGTAAAACAAAAAAAGTTGAAAAATTTATATAAAAATATAAATAAAATTATAAATGGTATAATTAATAAATGAAAAACACTACAAAGTATATTATTAAAATTGGCTTTTGTATTTCTCATCCCACCCTCTCCGATAACGATTCACCATATTTTTGATGACGTTTTACATTTTCCCTCTTTAATATAATGATTTGTAATCGTTTAATGCGTACAAAGTTAATGACGATGTATTGAGTTTTGATGAAAATTCTAAAAATAAAAGTGAAAGGTGGTTGTTTTTGAACATACCGTATTTGTAATATGAGCAACACCTAAAATCCACAGTTTCCTCCACTCAAACAAATACCTCATAAACTAATTTATGCATCTTTTTAAATAACTTTACAATAACGTGCATTCTTGTGCATAAAATTCTAACTAATTTATTTCCATATTATTTTCTTCAAATTCTTTTACCTTTATTTAAGGAAGAAAAAAAAGATGATGTTCGTGGATTCCCTTATCACAAATTAAAGGCTTTTAAACATATTAACAATAACTGATTGCCGATTGATTCGCATCCATCGTCCCACCGATACATTTACAGGTTGGCTACTAAATACTTTATCACTCCAAAAAATAGGAATTAATTTTAATCATTCTGTTAAACAATTGCTCTTTTTGTATTCCTGTGAGTGGAACTTTCTTTTGATTAAAGCAATATATTTAGAATCAGTTTAAAGATGGAATCGAAAAGGTTGATGGTTAAACAGCTTTTCAATCGCGTATTTTCTGATGGTAGAATCTTTAAGCAATTAAAATCGCTTGCGTATAATAGAATATTAATATATATAGAACTGTAAATCGATTATTAATAGCTGTAAAGATCAACCCTGCCTGAAACTAATGAAGTAAATGGAAAAATAGTTGAAAATACTAAAGCCTTAATCGCTATCCTAGCCGAAAAACTTTTTCTCTCACTGGTTATTATAATATTTTCAATGCATGTTTATTTTTAGTTGAATTAAAATGATGAATTGAGACCAGAACAATTACTGTTAAATTACTTTCACTTGTTACGTTTTTATTTGTTTGTTTTCATTACTGTGTCTCAAACATTACTTTTATTTGTTACAGAAATCAATACCGTTTAATATTAAAATAGATCAACCGGAAACATTTGCAGCTTCTGAACAAGAAATGGAACTACGAGAAATGCAAGAGAGTTTCGATAGAATTAAAGAAGTGACGCATGCATCTGGCATACAAGCAAGTCGAAACTTATTTAATTTGATCAGTTTTCGTACTGTATGTGTTTAATCAAACAATCACAGCAGCACGTAGTTAATTTTATTTTTGCCCTCATTAATTATCGCTAGTTTAGTGTAATCCAAATAAAAATAAAAAATGCAACCATTAAATATGAAAAGGAAGAAACTATCCCCTCCAAAAAAAGTTTCTGTAAAACGGAATTTATTTCTAAAAAACAACGATTATTGCAATTTTCAACTCATTATAATTAAAGAGGCGTTCGATTTGATTATGAAAAATGCACAACTAGATAAATTTAAATCGGTTGAAATAAAATTACAATAATTTTGAATCTATATTATTGTTTTTTCTTAAAAAAATTACTTAACTCATTTTTTCAAATATTTTTTGTGATTTTTTTCTTGGAAATAGCACTGAAGAAATAGAACCCCACTGACCATTTTTTTATAACTTCAGAAAAGTAAAATAAAGAATAAAATAAATAAAAACTTAACTTTTTAAAAGCATACTCATGCAAAGAGGGTATAGTGCATTCATTAGTTTTAATACCACTAAGTTCATTTCTTTATTTATTAATATTTTTTTTAAAAAAAAGAAGATCAAACACAGATATTTGGTTTTATTTTATTTCATAATCGTCGTTGAACAGCCGACCCAATTTTATGGGTTTACGACTACCAATGTTCAACTCCATGTAATTTTGAAACCAATCCAGAAGATAAGGGAACTCCTGGATCGAGTATTGGAAAAAATTTGCCTTCGTGGAGGACTTTTTGATGGAGCTAACACGCATTTGCGTTACATGGAGAGGGAGGCCACGAGAACCTCCCACGGTTAGCCTGACGGCAAGGGGACTCTAACCCACGATCCGTCTACCACTGAGGATATTTCACCTCAGCACTGTGGACGGTGCAAGCCGGAAGATATTTGGTTTTGTTATTTCTCCCTGTCCTTTTTATTCACCTCTATATTTAATTATAAATTTAATGGTTTCATTTAATAATGAAAAAATTTAAATGAGCATTTGATAATATTTTCTTCAACAGGACATTGAAAGAAGATTTTTAGTGCAAAAATCTATGCATGAAGATCTCTTTGATTTGAAACAAAGATTAGTTAAATCTCTTAATGAATTGAAAACTCAAAAGAAACACCTGGACTCCAGAATGGCAATAGTAAAAGGAGTAAACATTATTGAACCCAAAAAGTACTCGCTTTTCTTAAAAAATAAATAAATAAGATAACACTTAGATAACTAAATTTAAATCAGTGTTTTACTCTGTCATCAATCATTTGACTCATAAACACCAAAAGTGCTTATTTTTAAACTTTCTTCATTAAAAAAAACTATCAGCACAGCTTTAGAAAAACTATCTTCATTTAAAAACTGCTTATTTTCATATTTTCTTTATTTTCATAAAAATTATTAGCATAGCTTAAGGAAAACACTCTTCGATGCTATTTTTGAAGTATATGGCAAAGTTTATGGCGAAGTTTTGAGTGCTATATCGGTGCTATTTTGAAGATGAGTGCTATTTTTTATTAAGTTCCATACATAAGTGTTAAATTAACAGGGGTCTTTTCAGGCATTTTGTGACAGGTCCTATTTTTGTAAAATTGTGAAAAAACTATTCATAACTTGTGAATATAAAATAAGCGTAAGTCACATTCTTTCAACCAGGGTCCTGCATTTGGGAATTTGTGCAAATAGGGTCGTGTTATTGCAAAAATTGCTAAATACCTCTTTAAGAAGTTTTTAAATTGCAAATAAATGCAAGATTCTGCTCAACAATTGCTGCTACTAAATTAGAGATGCAACATACAAATATTTGGTATTTAGCTTATACTGCTCAACACAGAATATTCATTTCGGACAAATAATAGAAACAATATCACTCACATTTTTAATAATTTCAATTAACATATTTTAAATAACACAACTTAGTAATGTATCACTTTTAATGTGTTACGCATTAAGTAAACTTAAACAATTCTTAAATTTATAATANCCGTCCCCCCCCCCCCCCCTGCATGAAGGGTTTATTCGGTTAACAAAACAATAATGAAGATATACAAATTTGTGAAGAGTCCGGTTAAAAGATAAATTATTTTGTGAAAGGTCCGCTTTTATGAAAACATATTTTGTGAAGGGTCCGTTAATGGACCCAAATTTCTTCTAAACGGATCCCTGATTAAACATTAGAAATTTTCGAAATGTGAAAGTGTTCGACTCATAGACTAAAAATTAAAAACGTGCTGGCTTCTATATTTTCTTTACTTGCGTAAAAGAAAATTTGATAAATATGCATATACTATTAAAAATACTCTTTTTTTAAAAATTTAAATAAAATGTCACGTTCTTATAACATCGTAACTTTGCAACAAATAGTAAAAGTAAGGAGTTTTATTAAATGTAAATTTAGTTACATACGATTCATCCATTTACTTTTAAATTATTAAGCATTATACATTTGAAAATTGATAACATGGAAAAAATTTCAGAATAGATTCTGTGCTTAGACACACTGATGAATGTATTTCAGGAGAGGACTAAAATTATAGTTCTTCTATTTAACACTTTAACTTCGCATAAAAATAAACAAATTGTTCTAGAATGAGTTTGTTAGAGATGCTGTTATCGATTACCATTTAAATAGTACCAGTTTTCAAGTGTAGATAACTTTTTTTCTTCAGAGATATGGTTGACGAGCTACAAATAACCAAAAGTAGATATGAAGAACAAGAAAAGAGACGAAGCAATGCAAAACTAGAGCTTGAAAAACTAACATCCTTATTGAATGAAATGGAATCTCAAGAACAGGTGTTATTACAAGTATTGGAGGAACACTTTCCTGAAGTAAGTTGAACTAACTAAGGATTTATGTCCTAAAAAGAAAAATGACATAGAGTTCTTAGAATTCTTATTCTAAATTTGACTAGGTATCCATCAAAGTAATTTAGTAATCAATATGATTAAAAAACTATTATGATACCAGATCATTCATCTTCATTGATATTTTAGAATTGAAATAAACAATATTTTTTCTAAAGCACTATTTAATAATATTATGCACAATATCCAAAATTTTTAAGTTCATATTTTGCATTAGTTTTTTGCTCAAAAATTTTTTTCTCTAATTTTTGTGATAGGTTACAAATTAACAGGCAAAAAGATATCAGAATAATATTTAAAAAAAAAACAAAACAAGTATAATAAAAATTTAAAAAACAACATTTGGAAAAGTACTGTTTCCAAAATATTAGAAACAGCAAACCAGGAGGATATTTTACAACTCTACAAAAGTTCTTAGAGTTTTATAGGAATGTTTTAACTCCATCTATTACTGCACATATTTCCTTGCCGAAAAAGTTCATCTATGAACTTTTTGGGAAAATGAATATTTTATTATTATTGGCAGACCATTCAAACATTAACTGATGTTTTTTTTTTTTTTTAAAGAAAAGAATACATTTAGTTAAGACATTAGAACAAAATAAGAAATAAACTTTGATTACAATCAAAAATCTTTAGCGTTTTTGCTTTTAAATAAAATCCAGCAGTTGAAAACTCAATTCGAATTCATTTGTCTAGAAATAGGAAAAGATTTATAATAAAAAATAATCTTAACCTCAAACTTTCCCACCATTCTTACTAGTATTAATATAATAAAAATAACATAGAATACAAGTATCCACATAGTTTATAAAAGAAGATAAAAGTAGAGTAGGCAAATACATACCTTACTCTTTTATGTACTATATGTAATAATTTTGGAAATTTATCTTCTGAGATAATATAATCCAATACAGAGTTCTAGTAACATTAAATCTTTTGATTGCAAAATATGATTAGTTTAAAAACAAGATTGAAATTCAGGTACAAATTTAAAATTTACTGAACAGTAAGAATCATCCCTTTGTTAATTCATAGCAAATAATAAAAATTAAATAAAAAAAAATTGCATACAAGTTTCTTTGAAAGTAGTACATATATTTTAATTTTATATGATATTTGTTTATATTTCATAATTTTAACTTCTTAAAGAAGTCAATAAAATCTGATTAAAAGCAGATATTTATGTATTTGGTTAGCATTTGTATAGTGTGGAGATATAGTTAGTGAATGGGTTTCTTTTTTTCAAATCCTATGCTATAGATAACGACCTTTACTTTATAAAGAATATAGCTAACAGTTAATTTTTAATCTCACACATAAACATAACTCCAATGTCCTTTTGAATATATTTCTGTCTTATATTTATAATTTTTCTTTAAACAGGTAAATGTTTCATTAGAAGAAAGGAATGCATCTGGAACTATCAAGAAAATAGAAAAAATACTGCAAACCAAATTAGAAGGAAGATACAAATATTAAAAAATATTTTTTAAAAAAAATTTAAAGTTAAAAAACTTTTCATGTTCAACAATTCAGATATATTTATTTTTAAATTGCCTGTTTTCTCAAAATTATTAATAACTAAGCTTTAATAAAAGTTGAATATTTTACTTCGTGGGTAATATCACTAAAAAAGTTTATAATCAAAAAAATCAGGCAATAGCTAGAAATCACAAGGTTTCACCCAAACAAACTTTCTTTAAAAAATATACACCAGATAAATAACAAATAAACAATTCTTAGTACCAAAAATAATAATAACTTAGAAAATAACCATTCCTTATATTTCTAATGCTAATTAAGCTAAATACAAAAACCTTTTATCTCCATCAAAACCTTTCTAAGTAAAAAAAGTAATGTTAATCTGTGTCTAACATGTCTTTAAAAATATTTTCGCAAAAATGTCAGGCATAGTTTGAAACAGTAAAAAAAAAAAAAAAATCAGAATGTCACTTAGCACTATTTTTCATTCATCTTTTCAATGGTGAATCATTTAAAAATCAATATTAAAAGTTGTAAAATACTTTTTATAAATCATTGAATTCTTACATTTAATCATTTTCTTAAATTTTTTTAAATTGTTTTAAGATAATAATTCAATCATAATAAGAGTATAATTTTTTTCTAACTGAAACAAAAATTTAGATATTTTGGCAGGAATGTAAATTTGATGTAATTAGTACATTTTATATCTCCAGGAATATAAATTAAACAGGACTTAAGAAATTAAATTCCAAAATTTAATCACCAAGAAAATGCATCAAAAATTAAGGAAACACTACGAGAAATAAAACTAATCAGCAATTATGCAATTGCAGATAATTTATTCAAATGATAAAATAATATAATGTCATTTAGCCAAAAGGCAAATAAATTTATTAATAAATATTTATACAAGTATCTTTGACATTAATCATATAGATTCTTCATGTAGATGGAGATTGCTTTTTCAGCAATTCTTTTTGAATTTTAGACATATCTGCTATAAGACTTTCTTCTAATTTAGAGAGACTTTCTTTTTCCCTTTTTAATGTTAGGAGACGTTCTTCCAAATTATTCATCTTATCAACAAATGAAGAAATCTGAAATATGAATTACAATGATTACATAATTATTCATCTTTTCAAAAGAAGAAATCTGAAATAAAATTTATAATTGCAACAGATTATGATTGATCAGTTTATGCTAACATTTTATGATTGCAAAAGTTTTTGAAAATTCATACAAAGGGGAAAAATAAGGAAAATCGAATATATTTCATTAGGGGATAAGCAAATGAGCTATTTAAATGTTGAAATACCTATTGCAAAGCTGCATTGATCAACAATATATTTTCACGTCATGGCTTGAGATTAGCATATATATTTTAAATCAGATGTAATTATAATATATTTTTTTCAAGGTATGTTGACATAAACAATATTATTAATTATGTTAGAGTTCAAATATAGTTGTAACTTGTACTTTAATTCTAATTGATGATTTTTGTTATCTTTCACACATCATCATGTTTAGTTTATAAGTTACCTTTTGATGTCCATCACAGTTTTAAGCATTGTGTGATGTTTATCATATCTAAATCAGTGGGTCTGAAACCTTGATTTACGTACAATAATGCCAGACTTCAGCATTTACCATGCATTTCCAGATCATACCAGGTCAATATTTTCATGCTTTTAGATAAGGTATGTGGCAGCCAAAAATTATTTTGAATTTGGTGCGTCCTAATTTATAACTAATAAGAACCGCAGGCAAAATCTGACATACCCTCATTTTTTGAACAAAATAAATTGATTCAGAATTTACTGCTTGTAATTTAATATGTTAATTGCAATATATCAACTTTGTATACATAACTATGTGGTCTATTATGTAACATTATATTTATGGGCAAGTGAAATCTCACATATGAGACTAATGCTATAAAAAAATACAGTAAGTGGCAAAGATACATCATTCAGTTCTTCAAATAAAATTAATCCTATTTACATAATAAAAGCAAGGCAAAAATTTATAAGATGTTTTTTATCTATCAAATATGCCGCATCAAAATTTAAACTGTTACTCTATCTGAAATTTTAAAATCTTAAAAAATTCAGTTATGAGAGCATAAGAAAAGCAAAAGTGCTATTTATAAAACACTTAAATTAAATGGTGAATTCCATGTTAATCTTTTTTACTTATTCTAAAAAATTACAAAAAGAAAAATTGCTTAATAGTTTTCAATCTAAATCTGGTGTTAAACACCTAAATTTGAGTTAGTAAAATAAAAACTCTAGTAAAATAGAGTAGAATAGTAAATTGAGTTAGTAAAATAGTTTCTCTGTCTAGCATAATGAAATAATGTGTGCCAGTCAACTTTAAAAATGAGACCAAAATTTATAACTTTGTTTTATCTAAGCTTATTTTCATATATATATATATNTCATTCAGTATATATATATATATAGCCTGGAATAAACAACAAACATAAAGTCAACAAACATAAAATAACATAAAATAAACATAAAGTCAACAACTATTATAGTAAAATTGTTCTTATTAAAAATAAAAAAAACAATGTTTTGGAATTCATACAAAAAATTTATTTATTGATTATAAATAAAATATAAATATATTTTAAAATAATAATTATTTTAAAAAAATAGATTTATTTGAAAAACAGATTTATTTAATAAATGATAACATCAAAATATACATACCTTTTCATAGGCTTGATCAGGACTTTCAATTGGGTTAGATCCTTTTTGATGGTTATCATCTGATTCTTTAGTACCATTCAATCCTAAAAAAAAAGATAGATATAGCATAAAAAATTAATTATACAGCTTCAAAAATGTTTGTATCAATCTTTCTTTACAAATTCCTGTATAAGATATATATCAAAATAAAATCTGGGTCAATCAAATCATTTCTCCTAATAATATCTATCCATAAATACAAAGTTGCCTCATTACCAGAAATTTCAAATCTGTTCTAAGATAACTTCTCACTTTATTTACTTAATTTTTTTTTAAATTTTAAACATCTGACATTTTGATATAAGTGTGTACAAATGGTTTTACAAAAAATACATATATATATATGTCCCACTATAAAATTTGTGTCCGCAGCATACAAAACTCAAAAATGGGTACTTATTGGTTATAGACACCTAGTAATAATGCCAGGTTCTCGTTTACACTAGCTACCAATATAAGCTTGTATATAGGATACCAGTATATGTATATAAGTAGTTTATCAAAAATGGCTTTACTTATATAACAATATAGAAATTTTTAAATAATAATAAGATGGCCAATAATAGTATGAAATGACAAATTTAAGTAAAGCTTATTAAATCCATTATAATTCAAATATTGACGTTTTTTAACAAATTACAAAAATCATTTCATAGTATGAGTTACAGGAACCAATGTTTATAGTGACAGTAAGTCTAAAAGCCATTGCAAACACACGCTCTCCATAACCATACCAAAAAAAAATATATATATATCATCTAGGCAAAACAATATTTTTAATTCAAATTTTATTTAGGAATATAACAGTTTATTTAGGATATAATCTACAGCTGTTACATAACACTAACTTTACAATCGTCAGAATTTATATGACGTAAAAAATAGAAATGATGAAGTTTTCAAAAAACCAAAAAATTAAGAGGTGAGACAATTTTCATTACTGCAAAAAATAAAATGCTAGGCACTACAGAGACTATTTCTCAAAAAACTTATTTCACAATGTTTATATGGATGGTGTTTTCGGCGCTAGGGAACGCTGCTCGCTGTATGCCATTTATACTTCCGGGTAGCTGTTTCCGGTGTTTTTTGGCTCACAACGTGATCATTGACTTTTAAGATTCTTGCAAACGTGGTATTTGAATACTTATTACAAAACTTAATCTTGCTCCTCGAAATATATGCTAACACTAACGTGGGATGGTGCACAGCTTGCAACACGAACAAACAGTAATAAACAAATGGAAAGAGGCCAAATCAAGACTGCCAAAAAAGCGAGTTATTCAAAATCTAGCAACCATGTCAGCTTTTTTAATAATATAATATCTCTAAACAACTAAAACAAATTTTCACTTCAAACTCACCAGAATTACATAATAAGATTAATGTCGTATGAAATACTGCAGATTTGAGCTCAGAAATTATCTAATTTACTTCTTTCAGTTAAAACAAAATTATCCGCTTGAAAATATCGTCTCGCAGAATAACATGTAGTAAGCAGCTGCAAACTTTCTAGCCGGAACTAGAGCAGGCATACAGCACGAGATTGTTATAGTTTACATTTCTACTGAAAACACCATCCACACTATATATATATATATAGATAGATAGATAACTTCTTTTACTAATCTGAAGTTTTATCTGTTCTGTTTACATTTTTAATGAAAATAAAAAGACAATGCAATAAATCAAATAAAAAACACACAAAGTAACAAACAGGTACTAGGCAATAAAGGTATCCACATAATGATTGGGGGACAAATTTGATAAGGACAAGGACAGCACTTTTGGAATTAGGAGGGCACAGTTACAGTAGTTGCAGAATTGTGTCATTAGTTGCTATATTAATTGCCAAGTCCAGACTGTGGTCTGCGAAAAGGTTTAAAAATATTACAATAGGGGATCAACTCAAAACGTAGAGCTCCTAGCCATACCAAAGCAAACCTGTGCATTTTTTTTTATACTTCTGCAAGTTTAAAATCCATTTGGCGTGACAGATCTCGATGCGAAAGTATACCCGATTTTGCCACTAATTTGAGAAAGAACTAGTTCAAATTTTTTGAATCACTATGATGTAAAAAAAAAAAATAGCAAAAGTTGCTGATTTGAAGAAATGAATCACCAATTTTAAGAGAGTTTAGCAAACTATTATACCCTCATTATCATCAGTAAAGTTAGTTTCTGTTTCGATTTTGAACAGAACATCATCTAGATTTGCGGAAGATAAATCTTCTAAAATTTCCTCTTTCGAAGGGATTGAAGGTCTTGTAGGAAGGTTTGCTTTCCTTTGAAACATCCTTTCTTCGGAAAAAATTCCCCAAAAGTTATTTAAGAAATGACTTAACAATATCTAAAAAAAACTTTAATAGAAACTTTTCTTTAGATTCCTTAGAAATCTGTCAATCATTTCTATTTATTTACTCTTTTTCCTACAGGCTTTAATTTTAAACGCTTTTGTCTACCTATTTCTTCTATAAAATATCTCGATTAGATGACATAAATTACTTATAAGCAATTACTTTCCTTAATTAAACTGCAACCGTGATTATAGAACCGTGAAATTTAGTAAACACATTGTAAAATACAGAGCTATAAGCGAAAGCAGAGAGCTCGTAGCACTTTACTATGCTCGGTTAAATACTCAGTAAACAACACATTGCAAATTATATATCTTTCTTGATATTAAGGGTTTCGAGGTTCATCTAGACTAAGTGTTGCTTCATTAAAAATGTTTCTTCCTTATTAAAGTTTTTAATTGTATTAAAAGATTGAAATTGTTTATTGCTCCAAGTTTAAATAAATGCTACTCTGTTTTTAAAACATTTTTCGTGCGATTTTAATTGAATGAAACTTTAAACTGAACGCTTTAAATAATTCTTATAATCATTATGCTTAAATATTTTCTTCGCTATTGTATTTGCCACAAGTCTCAGGTACTGATACCTAGACGGTTATGTTCAAGTAAGATTTGATTATTTAACTAACAAAAGTGTTTTATTATTATCAGAAAATTAAAAATTTTAAACTTGTGTTTATTTATTTCAAATATATTAAAAATTGGCTTATAAAACGTTATATTTGTTTCCTTTTGCTTAATAATTATTTTTCCATTACAATAACCATTTATAAAAGAACAGAAAAAATTTGATGTTAATAATTTTATTTCTGATTTGCTTGTTTATAAAATTTTTTGGCTTATTTCAAACCTAAGCACTTGAATAATAGGTTTTGTATTTGTGAGTTGATCATTTGAGTATTGTTGGATCTTCATAAAATTTTTTGGTAATTGTATTGGATACATCAGTGCATAGATTTAGTCTTATCAATCTATACAACAGAATATATCTATACAACAGTGTAGTGTTATCAATCTCTACTTATTTATAACAAACAATGGGTGGAAAAGTTTATGTTCATTTTTGTCTTTACTTACAACTGCTTTATTTTACTTTATTAAAGAAATAGTTTACTGAAACTTTTTTTTTGGATACAGTATTTACAAGCTGCTCTAAAATGTAGTTATTACTTAAATACTTTTAGGAAACAAATTTTATCGGAGGATTCAATTTTTACCTCTGTCCAAAATTAAAAAAAGAAAAAAAAAACTCTAAAAAAAATGGTTTAAAATAATAAAGGAGCCAATTTATTTTTGAGAATTTTTTCTTTCGCCTTTAAATATTAATGTATTTCTTTACAGCAAAAATTTATTTCTGGAAAGTTTATTGCTAGCAAATTATGAAATATTTTTGATTTTGTTAAGTCGACTTAAATGAAAAAAAATAAATAAGATTTGTGCCACTCAGATTCTAGAAACTAGATGCATTTATACCCTAATTATTTACTTACTAATGTTAAAAGTAGTTCCAAGGATGTGTATTCTACTATTCACCTGGAATGCAGAATATGACTGATCAGTCGAAGAAGGATCAGGGGAAAATCAGGCAGCTCTTGGGAAATTTTTAGTCAAGGAAAAAAAATTGCTTCCGAATTTTTAATTTCTTATGCTATATCAGGGGTTCTCAACTTACATGAGACCCAGGGCCGCAATTAAAAACACCAGTCGAATGACGGGCCGCAACTTTATCAAAATTTTATCTAGGACTCTTTTTATGTTTAAAGGAACATTAAATATTACTGTCAGATTTTTATCAACTTGTACAAAACAAAAGTATTGAATTACAAATTAAAATAAGAAGTAGATTTTTACCTGAGAAATTAATTTTTTGCACCGTTGGTATGTTAAATTTCACAAAAACGAAGAAATTAGGTTTTTTTAATAAAGAAAAATACTTAGATTAGTATATAGATTTTTTACAAAAATTGTCTGCAAAAAATAACAACTAATATATTTTAGTTCACAGGACACAAAAAAAGGCTTGGAGAGCCAGATGTGGCCCGCGGGCCGCTTGGTGTGGCCACTTGGTAATCACTGTGCTATATCAACTAACTGTCAAAAAAGAAAAGTAATTAATTCGAATTTCTTCTGAATCAAAAAAAAAAATTTAAAAAAAAATGCAGTGGAACCCTGATGTTACATTTTCCTTTGAACTAGCATTAAGAAACCCACGAAGTTTGATAATGTAAAATGTGGGTAAAAGCATATTCTTAAGGATTAGTATATTCCTAAAAATAAGGGTAAGTATATTCTTAAAAAACTAACACATAGAAGATGAACTACTAGAAAAATGTGTAATCTTAACATGTTTTTTTGTTTTTAGCTATAATTTCATCAATATCGCTTTCAATACTTACTATTGTTTGCTTTATGGTTTACATTAGCAAATGTTTCTGAGTTCTTGGGCTTTGGTTTTTGGATATACTTTTTTGCTCATCTTCGTTTTTATCACTATCATCATGAGTAGGCATTGAATCAGATATTGAAAGAATTGAAAGTAATGTGATGTGTGAGTGTTGCATTTGCTATATCCGTCATCAACTTCAGAAGATCTTCACTCGTTCAATTTTATTCCAAAAAGCCAATGTTCCTGTTGGTAACTGAGGAGCAATTACTGAGAAGCTTTATTTAATCCATTTATAAAGCATTTGAGTCAACACTGAAATGCTATGGAAATCAAAGTCAGAGCTTTCAGAATCCCAAATTTTACAATTTAATCTCCTATACTTTCTTTCCCTTCTCTCAGGCAAAATAGAATGCTAGAAAAGCTACAAAAAGCTAATAAACAAATCTCTCTTTTCTTAGAACAGAAGTGAAGAAGAAAACACAGAAAAAGTTTGTGCGAGCTTTACAGGAAAAAAAATATTTTCATCTGTTGGAACAGGGATGGGCAAACTACGGCCCGCGGGCCAACTGTGGCCCTCTGGAAGATTTTATCCGGCCCGCGGAGGGAATTTTTATTTGCGATCAGTGGCAAATATAAACAATATACATCCATTTTCTTGTCGACTATGTTTAAAATTATTTCTGTTTTTCCTTTTTCAACAAATTACTGATGAAGTTTTTGCTTTCTCTATTTTTGTTCTACAAAACATAAATTGATGGAAATAGTTAGCTCAGATAGCTTCAATTGGTAAAATGTTGAAAGCAGAAGTTCTTTATAGAATAGCCGTAGATTGGCTCCAAATAGCGCTTGTCTCTCTCGAGGAGCTGACTTATGGAATCTAATATAGGTAAATTGCACTTCACATTTGGCAGACTGCGCATTTTACGCTCCAAAGAGCGGACAATCTAACAATCATCTGAAGCAGTCGTTTCTAAATATTCCAAAGTTTTACAAATCGTTACCAAAAGCTACTTTCCAAAATTTAATATTTCATGCTCAGAAACTCAGTGCATGTTTGCTTAATCTTATATATGTGANTTGTGCTCCGGAAAAAATCCTGATTTCCGGATTTTTCGCTAACAGTGATCCGGAAGTTTCCGGAGATCGAAAGTCCAGATGTTTCAAAAAATCATTGATCACTTAAGTTTCCGGAAATCAAATTTTTAAAGGTAGAACTTAAAAACACAGTTTATTTAATTTGTTTGTAAGGGAGAGCCTCAGAGATACTTTATAAGCTTATATTCATGATTAATATTCATTTTTTATCACTAAATGGTTGTTATAATCATAAACTAAAAAAAAAGACATATTTGTAGATTTTAATTACTTCTCCAGGTCATCATAATTATGTGTAAATGGTATAGGTATGTGTAAAATTTTTAATATATTTTTAGTAAACTAAGAAATATTGAGAAAAAGGAAAAAAAACCTTGTTTAAATTTTTTTCAATTGAAACTGTNTTTTTTTTTTTTTTTTTTTTTTTTTTTTTTTTTTATTCTTCTCAAATTCAGGAAATTTTCCGGAATTTTGACTTGGGCTCACAATCACCCCTGAGTGTTATCAATCTATGCTTATTTATAACAAACAGTGAGTGGAAAAGTTTACGTTCATTTTTGTCTTTACGTACAACTACTTTATTAAAAAAATAGTTCACTGAAACTTTTTTTTGGATGCAGTATTTACAAGCTACTCTAAAATATAGTTATTACTTAAATACTTTTGGGAAACAAATTTTATTGGAGGATTCAATTTTTACCCTTATCCAAAATTTGAAAAAAAAAAAATATATATATATAGCATTAAAAAAAAATTATAAAAAATGGTTTAAAATAGTAAAAGAGCCAATTTATTTTTGAGAATTTTTTCTTTCTCCCTTAAATAATAATGTATTTCTTTACAGCAAAAATTTATTTCTAGAAAGTTTATTGCTAGCAAATTATGATTTAACTGAAAACGTTAAATAAGATTTGCACCACCGAGATTCTAAAAACTAGATACATTTAAACCCTATTTATTTACTTACTAATGTTAAAAGTAGTTCCAAGAATGTGTATTCTACTGTTCACTAGGAATGTAGAATATGACTGATCAGTCGAACAAGGTGTAGGGGAAATTCAGGCAGCCATTGGGAAATTTTTTAGTCAAGAAAAAAAAAATTGCTGCAGAATTTTCAATTTCATATGCTGTATCAGGGGTTCCCAACTTACATGAGGCCAGGGATTTAGATTATTATATAATTAGTGTATTGATTAGTATATAGAAAAGTACTTAGATTAGTATATAGATTTTTTACAAAAATTATCCTATTATATTTTTGGTTCACGGGCCACAAAAAAAGGCTTGGCCGGCCAGATGCGGCCGCCAGTTGGTAACCACTGTGCTATATCAACTAACTGTCAAAAAAGAAAAGTAATTAATTTAAATTTATTCCGCATCAAAAAAAAAAAAAAATACAGTGGAATCCTGATGTTACATTTTCCTTTGAACTAGCATTAAGTAACCCACGAAATTTGATAATGTAAAATTGGGGTAAAATCTTATTCTTAAGGGTTAGTATATTCTTAAAAAATAAGGGTAAGTATATTCTTAAAAAATTTTATAATGTAAAATCGGGATAAAAGCATATTCTTAAGGAGTGGTATATTCTTAAAAAATAAGGGTAAGAATAATCTTATAAAACTGATACATAGAAGATGAACTACTAGAAAAATGTGTAATCTTAACATGTTTTTTTTGTTTTTAGTCTCTCTTTTCTTAGAAAAGAAGTGTAGAAGAAAACACAGAAAAAGTTTGTGCGAGCTTTGCAAGAAAAAAAATATTTTGAACTGTTAGAAAAATGCATAAAACAGGATTTCCTTATAAAGGATAATGTAAAATCCGAGATATTTTAACGTTATCAGTACTGGCAATTTTCACAGACCATTAGAAAATGACGTGAGAAGCAGGATAATGTACGAAATGACAACGAGGCTGTATAATTTGATTTCAGCCTTAAATTGAAACATGTAATTTTTCGTCAATTTTATGAATCAGATTAAATTCAATATGTCACCTATTAAGCATTATTATTTAATGAAAGAAAGTTAGAAATAGTTGAAGTAAACTATCATATTTTAGTTTATTTGATTTCAAAGGAGTCTAAGTGAATTCTTTGATCCCCCTTGTGAGCACCTTTGAAAATTCCCAGAATATAATCCATTATGGATGTTTTACTAACTAGCTAATAAATTTATTATTTGTAAAAATATTTTAAAATTCGAAGAAAAATCTGAGAAACAAAATAAAAGCTGAGAAAGAAGAAATGTAGCTGAGAGGTTATTCAGAACATTTAAGAGAACTGTAAATTATCTTAAATGCCTTTGTACTAATATATTTTCTTACTGAAATCTTTCTATTTTTCGTAATGCTTTTGTAGCATAAATAAATTCACTTATGAAAGTATTTTGCTTTTAAGAATATTTAAACTGTGGCAAGTTTAAATGGAATTTTTGAATAATATGGCTGAAAGATTACCTTGTGCCTTAAATGTAACTGAAAGTTTTTATTTTGTATTTTATGTATTTTTAATGCAAAAAAAGTTATAGTTATGTAAAAAAAAAGATTTAGAAAGAAAATTAAATACTTTGAAATGTGTATATTTTAAATAAAAAATTTCAGTATTATCCGTGTTTTCTGATTTATGTGATCATATGTATTTTATGTTCACATGAATCAAATAACATGTATGTTCACATAAATCAAATAACATAAATAATCACATAAATCATGTTTTTGTGATCATATGTATTGTAAATATTAAAATTTAAATACATATTTATTTATATACTTATTTTTTCATTTCTAGTTGTAAATAAATGGACCACTAGATCACATACTTGTGGAGAGTTGAATTTAAATCATGTAGGTCAAGAAGTTACAATATGCGGAAGAAAAACCTTTCATAGGTGTGACAAATTTGTCATTTTACGAGATAAATACGGAGATACTCAAGTAATATGTCAAGAAAATGTTAGTATACTTTTTTTTAAATTTCTTGTACTGATATTATTCAACTTATTTATTTATTTCATCCTATTTTTGTATATCAGAAATTATTTGTGACTAACAAGAATAAGAAGAGATAACGTGAGTGATAAAATTAAAAATAAGATTAAAGTATTAATTTAATATAGATATTTCTATGTTGGTGTGTAATATTCTTAAAAAAATCCATTAAATGTTTTTTTTTAGTATAATATTAATTTTTTTCATATATGTTTCCATAAAATGTGAAACTCAGTTTTTTTTTTGTCTTAAAATTGAGTAGTTGAAAATTTACAAGCACTTTTGTGTTGGCATAAAAATTTAGTATTTACCGAATTATTGACTGATTCAGTTTTAGTAACTGTTGCAGCAACAGTAAATCGTTGTATCATTATTGCTGTTATCAAGTTACCTGATTTGTTGAAGAATGAATCACAGAAAGAAATTCCTCATTCTTATTTATTTCAGACTCTGAATCATTTCATTATTAATTCCTTTTTTTTTCTCTCATTTTTCTAAGATTTTTGGTAATTGATGATTTGATGTTTAGACCAGCAGGTGCCATTTTTTTTGGGTTACAAAACCCTAAATAATTAACATTCTTTTGGCAAAACCCCAAATTAAATAAAGTTCATTAGAAATTGTAAACCTATCCAACGAAACATTACTAATCAGTTTGAAAACATTAATGTTAATTTTTTCATCATTTTATCAATAATAGTCTTAGAATTAAATTTCTTGTTAGACAATTGAATTCACAGGTCTGAAGCGGTATGTAGTCAAGTTCTGAATTTGTTCTTAGTGTATGCATAAGCTGAAAATGAATTTAATTAAAAAGCTGTTTTTATTGAAATGAAGATTATGAACATTGAAAGAACTGTCATAAATGTGTAGAAATGTTGAGAGCAAACTTTTTTTAGTGAATTTTATTATTCTCTTTAAATTGATAAGTTTGATGAAAAATCATTTATAAATGCTAATCATTTAAGTAATTTATTCAATACATTGTTGTTAGAAAAAAATATGTTTTAAAAAAATCACTGTTTCTTTCACTGACATTCCGCTTGAATAATTTCATAAAAATTACTAAAATATTCATTTAAATAATGGATTGTTTTGTTTGATGAATGAAAAAAATATTTTAACTCTCAAAATCCTTGTAACCCTTCCTCAGAACCTTAGGGTTCCATGAAGCACCTTTTAGGAATTGTTGGTCTAGCTAGACAATACTTAAATATTATTTTGTAAAAAATATATTTCATTGTAATTATGATATAGATATATATATTGCAATTGAATATTTCACAATAAAAATTACAATTTAATTCCTACTGTAGTCCGTGGATCGAGATTCAGACAGAAAGAAAAGTTTATTAACAAAAAGCAAACAAACACATAAAAATTTAAAAAGAACGCCATCTGGCGGTATAAAAAGAAAAAAACTTCGTAGCTATCCTTCCCAGGGAATGACAACACCTACATTTGCATCTTGGCTTATAATCTTCTACAACTGCCTTGTGAGTTTTTAAAAAAATTAAGCAAAGAAAATGTTCTGAGATTCTTCCGTTCATTGAAATTCTTTTAACTAGTGAGGCAGCTCTAAAGTTAGGAAACTTGATTTACAATTTAAGAGGGTTTTGAACTCAAGAAAAAATTGTCTTTTTGTTGTCAAAATATTATAAATTCCATTTTATGTGCATAAATCAAACATAGGATACTTGTTAAAGTGCTTCTAATATTTTTTAATTAACATGTACACTAAAAAAAAAACATTACAATGTTAAAAATTCAATTTTCAGAATCATATTGAAACAAAAAAAGATGTTCCATAACTGATTCTCTCTTGCCCGTAAACACCTTTAGTTAACAGTTTTTTGAAGAAAGTCTCCATTTAAAATCATTGGACAGAAATAAGACAAAACAATGGAAGATTGAATATCTTGCTTGCTTACCAGATTGTTCGTGACTAAATATAGCAACCTCATTTTAGGCCGACTGGTTGAGCCCAATCTAAAGATTTGTCTCCCTTGAAAGAAGAATTTAAAATTGAAGTTTATTTTATTAACCTTTTCTTTTTTTTAATTATATACTGGTTGTTAGAATATTATGAATTTGAATAAATCATGATTTTTTACTACGGATTTTTGATATCTTGGTGTATAAGTTGACCTGCTGTATGATTTGATCTCCAATTTTTGATCATGAGATTGCAAATTGCTGGTTTGTCAAAGGTATAAGTTGACTGTTGTCGGTAACTTAATTATTATTCCTAAAGATATCATTTGTCAAATGATGCTAGATGCATGACAAATTGTAGATTCAAATGTAATTGTAAAATATTTAAAAAAATGTAGAATTTCAAATTCTTCAGAGAGGATGAGGACTATTTTTTATAGCACTCAGATATGGATGAAGTAGAATCTTTACAGAGTGAGATCCATACGACAACACTGCTAATATTAATAAATCCAATAAATTATGTTCTAGAATCTGTAATTTGTAGCTTGTGGTATAATGTGTTTAATTTTTTCTCTAAATACTCTTGAATAAATTATCTAAACTTTTCTTATTCTTGATAACGTAATTCAAAGTATTGTTTCTAAAGAAAACATTTATATATAAAGAAAATTTAATGAAAGAAAATTTAAGGAACGAAAATACAAAGTTAATTGTTTATAGCATATTAAAAATAGTTCTTGAAAGTGGTAATTTATAAAGGTAAATTGGCACAGAGTTTTTCATATCCATCTGATTGGTATTTCACAATTAACAAATGTTCAATTTTATTACTGATGTATAAGTCAACTGCCTGCTTTTCTAGAAACTTTGGGGATGGGGTTTAAAAAGTTGAGTTATACACTGGTATGTATGGAATATGGATTTGTTTTATGGTATTACTTGATTTTCCTTGTTTTAATAATGTTATTCATATTTTTTTAGGAAAATCTAACTAAGAAATATTTAAATTCATTGCCTTTAGAATCATTTATTGAAGTGAAGGGGACTGTTCTCAAAAGACCTTTGAATAACATCAATAAAGTGAGGATTTTTTTAAAAATTTAAAAACAAATCGTACAGTACAGAACCCGTTATCCGGAAATCAAAAAACCGGAACAAAATTCGATAAATTTTCTCGCCATTTTTAAAAAAAAAATTTTTTTCCTCGTAAGATTTTACGATTTTTCTTTCATTTTTTAAAGATGTTTACCTTACCATCATTTTGGAAATAATCATTAGTGTATTACTTCATCGTTTTTTCTTATTTTTAAGATTATTTCCCAATTTTTTATTTTTTTAGTTGGGTTTAACAATAAAAAAAACGGCTTTTTGCAGCGAGTCAGAAAACCGGAAAAATCAGTTATCCGGAATAGCGATGGTCCCGAACGTTCCGGATAATCGGTTTTCTACTGTATTATATTTTACTTAAAAATGTATAATGTTTGTTTTCATAGTCTACTCTAAAAAATTCGAATCAAAATTTTTTTTCGTTGGTGTTTTTCCCCTTTTTTCTTTCTATTTTTCTTCTTTTTCAACCTTATTATTTTTTATATTTTTACAAAGTTATTTGCATTTTTGCTTTTTCCTACTGAATATCACAATTATTGGTATATAAATTCTTTATTGAATAAGATGAAATGTGTTTGAAAAATAGGTCTGTTGCAGGCTTTTTACTTTTCTCTAACAGGCTTTTTAGTTTTTTAAGTTATATTTCGTAGGTTTTAAATTGAAGGCCATCTCCAACAGATCCATTTTTTTAAAGCACTGATAAACAGGAGAGATATAGAGATTATATCATAGTAGACGAGCTTACTGGAAGAAGGTGAAAACTAACGGTGTAATGATTTTATTGTCATCAACTTTAGAAAATGTAACTTGAGATACCTTTAAACTTTGAAAATCTAATGCTTAAAACCACCTTTTTCTAAGTCATTTGTTAAAAAAAAAATTAATAAGCAAAATTAAGTGTGTATGTGTATGTCACCCATGTGCTAGATAATATAGATCAAGAAAATCAGAGAGGAAAATGACAGTTAATTTTAGTGAAAGTCGCTGGGTTTTTTTAAAAAAAATTTAGAATTTTGTTTAAAGTTAAAACTAAATATATCTTTTTGTGCTGGGTGATGTGAACCACTTTTATTATTACATTCATAACTTATTCAAAGTTTTAAAATGACTTAATGCGCAAGCTTTTATGTTATGTTTAATTACTATTAGAAATCCTGTTTCCCAGATATTAGTCAAAGAATATAAATCCAAATCAAGGATTTTTTTATTAAATGCTACTACACTAGTTAATTCCTGTACAATTATGAATTTTTAGCAAAGCCTGAAGTAATTTTTGTATCATAACATTTAAAAATTTATCTTTCAATTCTTAAAACTACTACATTTTTAATATAAAAAGTATTTTTTCTTCTTTTAAGTTTACACTTCAGTATTAATTCTTATTATGTAATGTAAACCTTCAAATATTAACTAGTTTTCTTTCAATAAATCAATTAGAAATTAGGGAATTATATAATAACCAGAAATCTTTTCTTATATACTGCAATATCTTCATCTCTAGAAAATTCTGTGTGCAAGACAATTAGACAATTATTAATTAGACAATAATTAAGACAATTAGAAATTTTATATTTTTACAAACTGAGGTAATAAAATTATTTTATATTTAATATTATAAGTTATTTATTTTTAAATTTCTTCCGAAACAGAAAATGCCAACTGGGGAAATTGAAGTAGTAGCCTCTGAAATTAAAGTTTTAAATGAAGCCTCACCTAGTACTCCTTTTACTTCAAAAGATCAGGAAAAGGTTTATCATTTTAACTTATTTTTACTTTAAATTTTTAGAATTTTTGATTAGTAATGCTATATATTTTTTTATTTTTTGCCTTACATCAACAAGTACAGGCACATTAACAAATTAACTATCTCACTTTTCAGCAACTTTAGACTTTGTGAATTTAAGGTAAAAACTTTGTTCTGAAAAGAGGTGAATTATTAATATTTTTAAGTTGCGTTCAAAAGGTAATATTGTAATTTTTGATTACACTGGTGTTCAAGAAATCAAACCTAGATTTAAATTTTTAATCGCTAGCAAGCATTTTTTTCCTCTTGTTTGAAACAAAAATAAGTTGCAAAATTTAATCTCTCTTTGCATCAAGGGATCAATTCTTTTTTTATCATACCAGTAAAACTCAAAGGCAAATTGAAACAGAGACTCCTTATTTCTATCTTTGTGTAGGAATGAAGGGGTGTTATAAATATTTTCAATAGGCACAAAAAAGAAAAGAAAAATGCAGAACACCATATCTAGTTAATATTTTGATTATATTTTAACTTTTAATATTTTTTTAAAATTTCAATAAATTTTCAGAATTTAAAAGTGGAAATATTTATAAAAATATTGTTATACATTTAAAGTATGTGTATAAAATTTGAATAAAATAATTCTCCTTTATATTAAATTTAGATAAAATATGTTTTTTTTTCCTTTTCAAAATCCATGTAACCTCTTAAATGATCATCCATGTAACCTTGATGTGATTTTAAGATAGGACTCATTTTTTTTTAATAAGTTTTTTTCTTATAGTTAATTAAAATTGTTAACAAAAATTTTAGTACTACTCTTAATCATCTTATCCATATTGGGAATGTATAGCTCTTAATGTATAGCTTTGAAATAACCTCGCAATACCAACACTCCTGAATTTATTTTTAAAAAATTTTGTTGTGGAAGTTAATTTTTTTTTTATACTGAGACTAGTTATTATTTGCTTTTCTTAAATGAAAAAATACTTCTTTATGAACTCAAAATTTTATTTTAGTAGCATTAAGATTGCCACAATGATTAGATCATGTGCTGTGATGATATAACCAAGCTATGTAAATTATGTTATGCAGGCTAATGTAAAAAGAAATTTTAATTATTCATTTAATAATATTTATTACTCTGTTTATGTATTTAAAAAATTTTATTTTGGTACAATTTTCAGAAAATCACAAAAACTCGACCTTGTTTATGCACAGTTGCTTAAACAGAACAGTGGCTGAAAGAAACCATTTTGAAATTAGTCTTAGATTCTCAAAACTATAATTAGATTTTTCACAAAAACCAAAATTTTTACAAATCTATATAGACCTCTGCCTTTAGACATTATAACTTTTAAATTTTAATTTAGTTTCATAATTATCTTTTTTATGTTTTTAGAAAACGTGTGTTTATTATGTTTTATATGTTTAATTATGCTATATTTTTAGATGACTGATAGTATGAAATATAAATATCGTTGTTTGTATTTGCGCAATCCTCGTATGCAAGACAATTTGAAAATACGCTCTCAAGTCATCATGAAAATACGACAATTCCTACATGATCAGAGTATTTCTGTTACTTACTTTATTATATGACATTAAAATTTCTATTCTTTTTTTTAAATATTTCTATATTTTTAATAGAATTTGTAGAAGTTGAGACTCCTACTCTTTTTAAACGGACCCCAGGTGTGAGTATATTTATGAATTCTTTATCACTTTTATTTTAAAAATGTGAGATTTCTTAAAAGCAACTGTTTCGATATTCATTAATTTTACTCAAATTATGTTCAATTACTTTTCTTATTTTCATTATATTTCAGGAAAATAGTAAGGGCAAATGAAAGCAATCTTTAAAAATATGATTTTTATAGTTTATATTTTAAAAATTGTCTATTATCTGATAATTTTGTTGTCACTTAAATTGCAATTATATTCATTCAGATGGGTCCATAACAGACCTAATTGATTTTGTCGTAAAATTTTTTCTTAATTTTTTTCATAATTTTAAAATCTCAAAATTTATGAAAATATAAAAATTAATCAACTGATCTACTCTTTGTAATTTTAATTATTTCTTTTCCTACTTATTTTTATTTTATTTATTTAATTTTTGATTGATTTACTAATTCTCAACTTTTACTTTTGCTCAAAAGGTAAAAGATACAACCTGAATTTCATTAGCATTTTCATGTCTGGAACAAGTTTTCCCAAACTTAAATTTTTTTTTCTGAATTTCTTACGACGGTTTCTTAATTTTAAATCAAGTAATAAATTATTAAACAAAAACATATATTTGCTGTTTATTTCATCGCGTGTTTATTTATTTATTTGAAAGAAAAATAGGTAATTCGATATAAATTAGAGATGATAAAGTAATTTATGAAAGTTATTTTTTAATATCGATGATTTATTTCTATGGATTTAAGAAAGATTTAGGAGGATTTATTTGGACATTTTTGCGAAGAGTTTAATCTTTATAGTGCAATTTTAAATTTTGGTCTGGATGATTTCAATGGAATAGGAACTTAAAGTTGAATTCATACTCTTGAAAATAATTGTTTCCAGTTTTAGAACAGAGTTAAAAAATTCATTTATTGAACTGAAAAAATAAATTAAAAAATTTACTTATGCAACAGTTGAAAAACTTTTAAATTATGACGACCTGGAATTTTTTGCTCTAGTTTAAATACAATATTTTGTATATAAATTTTTAAATTCTGAAACAAGTCTGTCGAATAACTCTGAAGTTATTTTTTGTGAAATAAACTAAAACTATTCAAATTTAGTGAGCAGATAGTAGATTCTTTTACATTATGTAAAATATGTAGTTTTTCGTTTTTTTCTTCTTTTTTTACATAAATTTAATTATCTTGAGTTTTATAAATTCAATTGTACGGTACAAACGTTTTTTCGTATTAAATAATGTTTTGGAAATTAAGTTTTTATTCAATGTATAAATTTCCACAATAATTAATTTTTATTGTCGAATTCTGCAGAAATGTACTATTAACTGGAGTATGATAAATAAATTGTTTCTTTTGTACTGAATAATTTTTAAAGCATATTTTTTTGAACAATTATTATTAGTATTAAGAAAGTTATCTGCAAATTTTGAGAATGTTCGTAATTGATAAAAAGAGAAAGCAAATACAATTTTTTAATACTGCCATAGAAATTTTTTAAAATAATAATGAAATATATATAAAAGCATTTTTTTCTTATGCAAAAAAAAAAATTATGTTAACTGCAAACCAATCTCTAGAGTTAGTTGGTAGAAGCTTTCTTCAATAGATTGAAGCCTTTTCCTTGCTTCATGTTTTAATCTTTGGAGATTCAATTTGAAATTTTCTGAATTTTTTTTTAAAGTTTTGAAAAACTTTAGTTATCATATATAAAACACCTAAAGTTGCAACAGAAACTTATTATCATTTTAAACTGTTTAATCATTAGTTGTCTGCCAGATAAAGTACGGAATTTAAAATAACAAGAATTTAGTATGTGAGAAAATAAAATAAAATATTTTTTATAGACAGTTCGTATAGAAATATATTGGGATGATTTAATATTTCAAATTTTTTTTTCATAAATGTTAACATGTTTGTTTGAGTAAATAACATTAATTCTAATTATAAAAACCTGTATTAACTAAGGTAGTAACTTTAACCTGTGCAGTAAAAGATTTTTTAAATTATTTTTCTAGGGTGCAAAAGAGTTTGTAGTTCCAACAATATTTCCTGGAATATGCTATTCCTTAACATGTTTGTTTGAGTAAATAACACTATTTCTAATTATTAAAACCTGTTTTTTTTTATCAAATTAAAAATGAGAAATATTGGATTAACGCAATCAAATTAGCTAACATATCAGTCCACTCTAATAATGTTAGTGAACGTTTATGATTTCAGTATGGGTATGAGTGTTATTGTTTGAGCGCAATACATTAACTAAGGTAATAACTTTAACCTGTGCATTAAAAGATTTTTAAAATTATTTTTCTAGGGTGCAAAAGAGTTTGTAGTTCCAACAAAATTTCCTGGGGAGTTCTATTCCTTACCGCAAAGTCCTCAGCAAGTAATCATTTAGCATTATTATATATATATAATTGTATAATTATGTGTCAAATCAAATTGTGCGTTTCTACTTTTATTTCTGTAAGGTTAACTTCATTTTAATGAACTGCCTTTAATTTAAAAATATTTCTTTTTAAGCAAGAAAGCTTATCCAAAGTATTCTTAACCTGTAGTCCTGGTCTATAAAAAGAACTAATGAATTATTCTATAAATATGTTGAAGTGATTTATAAAAACCTTGTAATAGCTATATTTTTATAGCTTATTTCCTGTAAGTGTTCTAATAAGATGTTTTTGTGATTTAAACACTATAATTTTTTACAGTCTGTATTCATTACTGAATAAATAAATAAATGTGTACTGACAAAGAAATCTTGGAAAGAAATTTTTTTAACTCTATTCTTCTTTTTATCATTATTATATTATTATACTTTCTTTTTATTATTATACGTTTTTGCCCTTTTACTTGTCATTATTACGTATTTTTAATCCTTCCTGACATAAAATATTAAAAGCAACGATACCAACTGAAATGTTTGTTATTATGTTGTCAAAAATTTAAAAAAAGCTTATTTTAGAAATTATGGTCAGGGATCTGTCTAAGTTTTTCTGAAAGGTACCTATTTTGTGAAAATTTAGACATAATTTGTGAAAAATTAAAAAATCAATGCAAAATATGGTAAAGATATGGTTATATCGTTTCTTAAGGGACACAAAAATAAAATTTTAAGGAAAAGTTTTTTGTGAAACTACCATTGTGAAGGTACCGCTAAATTCGACCTGGATTTGATGGTGTCAATTTAATGCATTTNAAATTGAATTGGAAATATGATTTATGTTTTGATGTCCATTCATATTTTAATTTTTTGATTATGTTTTTCGTGTGTGCGGCATGTCGTCTGAAATTTCTGCTGTTAAATTATTAAAGATATATATCTATTAATTATATAAGTAAAATTTAAGAATATTTTGACTTACTATTTGACTTACTTATTTTCATTACTATGATTTTTTAACTAGTAGTTGATCTAACTAGTTTTAGTTTAAATGTAATAAATTGATATATTTGCTGCATAAATGGTACTACATATTTATTTCTTTAAAGTACTAGTTTATTTATTCAATCAGCTTATATTTTACAGCATAAACAAATTTTGATGAGTGCTGGACTTGATGGATATTTTCAAATAGCTCGCTGCTACAGAAATGAAGGAACAAAGTCAGATCGACAGCCAGAATTCACTCAGGTTTGCTGTTGACTTGTGTAAATATTATTATTTTACCTTCTATTGACGAATTATCAATAATGTATTTAAATATAATATGTTATCTATCAAACTTATAGCTCTTACCAGTTAAAAACTTTATTCTATTTTAATTTTTATTGTGTTTTGTAAAATATAATAAAATTCACATAATTTTTGCTGTATTAAAATGTTAGTCGGTAAAAATATACTTGAGGGTGCCCCTTGGGGAAATTGGCGGCTTATGTTTGGCGCCATTCCTGTTTGCGCAGAACACCATAGTAACAGGAATGGCGGCCAAAACCTAATGATATTTCAATAAAACATTGAAAAATTTCAACAAAACATCAGCCAAAACTTTATAAAATTGCAATGAGCCCAATAAAATGCATTTTTAATCGAAACAAAAATTAATGAAGTAAGCGCAGAAAGAAAAGGAAAAAGAAAACAACTTACTTCTTCACTAAGCTTGAATATCCTCAGATTTAGGTGTCCAGAATTTTCTAATAGAAGTTAGATACTGTCTAAATTTATCATGAATAGAATCTGTGTACCTCCATCGCCACATAAATTTGGCGAAATGCGAATTGAAAATGGCGTCTGGGGTACCAGACTGGCGGTGACATTTTTTTCTAAAGTCCCTTTTTATGACTGCCCACTTACCTTCGATCTTATTGACCAGAAGCAAAAGTAACCTTACCAGCCGGTATCCAACGTAGAACCAACGGACCTCTGAAATTACATATACCATTAAACATTTAAAAATCACACTAAAATCTAAAAAAATTAGAATCACGATTGGGTTTCAACATCACCCAGCTTGGCGATCACAGCTGAATAAGTTTAATATGGGTTACAATTTAAGAGAATAAAACTTCAATTAAAAAACATATTCTTTTAAATTGTTTGAACTAAAATGAAAATAAGTAAATATAGTAAGTATTGTTAATCTTTATTTAAACTAAAAAGATTTTTATGAAGTTTTTTTTCTAAAATTTTAGTTTTATATTCAAGTTTAGAGAAAGCACTCAAAAACATACCTATCAATCTGTATCCAGGCTACTATCCAAAATATGTGTTTATATCCATTACTATTTTCATCTTGTGTTAGATTTTTTTATCTATATTAAAAAAATTAATGTTTTAATAATTTTAGAAAATAAATTATAAGTGTCTCTACCACTGTTTTAGGTGTTCAGCTTAATGTTGTGTTTTGTTTTGTTGTACAAAAACTATACGAGTTGAAAACTTGAAATTACAATAGTATATGAATATACGAGGAATATAATGAAATAAAAGATAAATTTGCATTCATTTAGTTCAAGAATCATTATCTGTTAAAATTGTAGTAAAAAACACCTGGCAGACTGCTCTACAAACTTCACAAATGCAATTACAAAGTTAAAATTCACATGCTAAAATTACCATAATTGATATGAATTTAAGTTAATGTGAGAATTTTTCAAAATTCCAATTTGTTGGAAAGTTATTGTAAGTTGGAAGGTACTTTTTTCCCATTTTTTTTCTTTAAATTGCATTTTGTTTTGATTTGCAAAAAGTATGCCTAACGCCTTAAAATTATGTTGGGATTTAGGGAAATATTCATGGAGTATGACAAAATTTAAAACTAATGTTCGATAATTTGTTCTACAATTATTAACTGTTAAACTTACTTGTAGTAAAAAATACCATGTTAGCAGATCTGTTGCCCTTTTAAATCTGACTATGGAGTTGAAATGTGACTCACTGAATGAGCCATTTTTATTTGTGAACTTAACATAATTTTTTTTCAGCATTCTAATTTCTTCAAAAGTTTTTAAAATTTTAAATGGTTTTTTTTTTCGTTATTTTTTTCTTATTTTTTTTTTTTTAAATTTATTTTAAATATTGACTATTCATCCATTGTTATATAAAAATTTATTTTTCTCACATTTTATATCTTCATTTCTATTCTCACATTTTTTTTATCTTCATTTTATAAACTTATGTTTGAGTTAGTGTCAACAGTAACAAACAAAAGTATGAGAGATAGATTATATGCTACCAGTTATAAATCTTATCATGTATAAGAAATTTTTACAAATAAAGAAACCTAACGCAAGAGAGATAAATACTGTTTCTTATTTAAATTTTGTAGGAAGTTAAAATTCTTCTCCTTTATTTCTCATTGAGTGACACAATCTTTATTCCTTAAATTAATTTTTTTTCAAGTACAGATGATTATTTTTTAAATCCAGGTAATTATTCATTTAATTTTGTTTTTGTTAACATACTTACAAAATGCTCTTAAAGCTACATTATTTGCATATTTTGTTTTGTTAATAGCATATTGCTTTTATTTTGATATAAGATTTTTGTTTATGCTGAAAATATTGACTAAATAAAAACAATGAAAGAGAAACAACTGTGGGGTTTAGTGAACCGAGCAAGAAGGGGGAAGGGGGCTTCAGATTTAGTCCCTCTACTTAAATTTCTAAAAAATTATAACAATAAATAATAAAATTTATTTTTGATTCACTCCAATTATATATGTATGTTTATTCTATTCCTAAAAGTAGCACATTTTTGTAGTTCATAATTATCTTGATTTACTAAGGCTTTTTTCATGACTTACCAAGGATGCAAGTCTTGAAAAAAGCCCTAGTAAACAGCAAGCTCTAAAAAAATTTTTTATTCTTTTATAGGTTTTCAGAAATTTCTGGATATATTAATTCTAATACAAAATAAATATTTTGGAAAATTCCGAATTCTTTTTTTTTTTTTTAAATTTTTTATTATTTTTTAATGAGACTTAATTATTGTTACTTTTTTAGCTGTTATTTTTATATGTATTTCTATTTTTTCTGTTTGTCGAGATGTTATCATACATTTATTCAGTTGTTACATTTTAAGCATTCTGTCACATGATTTAAATAACTCTGATAAATCATCCTCCCATTGCCGAATTTTATTGTTCTTAAAAACTTAATTTATTGAATTATTTATGCATGCTAACTTAACTACAAAAACTTTATGTAAAATATATTCATGACTGCAAGAAAGTATTGTTACAGTTTAGTCTGTATGTCTCAGCATTTTCTTTATATTATGTAATTAAACTGAAATATTGAAAGTTTCTCTCTACTTCTTTTATAATATTTTTTTCATTTTTTACACAATATAAAAAACGCTTTTGAAATTTGTATTTATATTATAAATTTCAAAAGCATTTTTCACTAAATAGTACAAATTGCAAAAGTGGGAATTTTCTGTTTAAAAAATTTATGTTGATTTTTTTTTTTAGGTAGATATAGAACTTAGCCTTACTACACCAGAATTAATACAAAATTTAATAGAATCACTTTTGCAATTTTGTTGGCATGAAGAGAAAGGTTGCATTAAAACTCCTTTTCCAAAACTAAAATATGAAGAAGCTATGCAACTTTATGGAACTGATAAACCAGATCTCCGCTTTGAAGTAAAGGTACCAAATATTAAGTTATAATTGTAAATAGTAAAATAATATAGCTGTAAATAGATTTTTTTAAAGTATCACTGATTAGAGCAAATGATATTCATGTGAAAAATATTAGCATTATACTTTATTGTGAGTTAAAAAAAAAAAAGACCATTGCGATATAGTTTAAGTGGTTGTCTGCCGCTGTGTTTAGTTAGTGTATTAAATTATATAAATATGCTTTCAAAACAATATAAAAGCATTTAAGAGTTGAACTCAGTGAACTGAAATTTAATTCATGTTATCTTTTACTATATATATGGTAGAATTATGAAAAAAGGGTTATAGTTTCATAGTCTTATTGAACTCTTAGATATGGCAATATATTTCAATAAGGACAACATTTTGCTCTTGAAAAAGAAACAACTATATGACATTGCAAGAGCATTGTGTTTGATTGGACCTTTAAAAATGGTGCGTGACATAATATCAAATGGGAGATTTTTTAAAATTTTAACGGTGTAAAAGAAAATGGTCTGCAAGTAACAATATTCATTATTCTTTTATGAGTTTCTTTAAATGCGAACAAAATATTTTTTTAATTATTATTAACTAAATAATAGTTTTTATTCAATAAGTTATATTTTCCTTATTTAACATAATTTAAGGCAGCAAGCAAAAAAAGAAAAAGAGGCGGAGCAACGTTGTTTCATGAGTTGGTGATGTTGATATGCATTTGACATGGGAGCTTATTCTCTCTCCATAAGGATAATGTTTTTTTCTTGACTTGCAACAGAGTATAGCTACTTTGTATGATATATTGATAGAAAAGATGATTTAAGAAGTTTTAAAATTATCTTTATTTTTTTGTTGTGCTTATTTTTTTTTTATACTTTAATCTGATTTTTAATTTTATTTTATGTAGATTCAAGATTTAACAGCTGAGTTTAAAGAATCCAATCTACAGTTAGCTTCTGAATCGAAATTTAATTCTGATTATATCGTATCCTGTATTTTATTTCCCCGGGGATCTGTATGTACGATTTTTTCAATTTTTTTAAATTTTGCATTAAGCGTTGCTAATTTATTTTTTTTCTTTTAGAAGCTTATAAAAAAGTCATTGTTAAAAGAGTTAGAAGTCTTAGCTGAATCTAAAAATGTGGTAAATGCTCTTAATATTTTGTTTGTTTAATAATTTATATTAGTATTTAGAATGTAATAGTTTAAATTTTAAATAAATTTATGTAGCATACATTATATCAATCCTCAGGCTTTTGTCCCAATTTCTGTGAAAGAAAATAACTCTTGGGCATCATCAATTTCTAAACATATTGAAAGTCACATAAAAGAAAATATAAATGAAAAATTATTGTCAAAACCTGACGACTTAATTATTTTAGCTGCTGGGAAATCTGCAATTGCAGTAAGTATTTGATTACTTTTTAAATAGATTGAAAAATAATTTTTAGTTACAACAGAGTTAATTTATTTAATAAAATTTTTAGTAATAATATTATTAATTTCTATTCATAACTATTAAAATTTGCTTACTAAACATATTTGAAACTTAAGATTACTTGAGACAACTTTTTGTAATATCCATCTGCTAAAATTTTATATGTGTATATAATAAGTGTGACTTACCATTACCGATTCTGCAGAATTATGTGTTTGTGCTGCCATTTTCAATTTTAAAAAAATAAAGAGATTTGGGAATTTTTAACTTTATTTTTTGCTTTGTAATTATTTTATTAAAAATGTGTAATTATTTAGGCATTTGAGACAATTCTTTTTTAAAAAAAGATAAAAAAACGAATAAAATTAAATAAAAACGTATAAAATTTTACAAACAAAATTTAAATTATATAGTTATGCAATAAACAAACATTTTTAAAACACACAGATTTTCTTTAAGAAATTTGAAACTAAATCTTGCATGAATTTAACCTGGAAATTAGTTTTTTTCCTTATATAATATATAAACAAAAGTTTAGTTAAAGTTCTGCAAATCTCTTATAATATATAGATTATGTAGTTTTATAGTTTCTTTAGAAAATTAAGTTAATTATTTGAAAATTTTAATTTCTATTATAAGAGCTTGGCTTTATAAAAAATACATAAAATTATGTTAACAATGAAGTATGTGCCCTGAATTTAATAATGAATCATAATAGTTTTTAAAAGGAAAAAAATTACAATTAGGACGTCTGATACTTTTTAATCATATTTTTTAATGTATAATTTTTTTTATGTCTTAGTTTGTAATGTATATATAAAACATATAATATATTGTGCAACTTTTATAGCAAATTATATAATACTATATTGCACATTAAATCTGAAAAGTTTAAAAAACAAATGAGTTGTAAGAATTTGTGATTATCAATTTAATGAATGATATCTTTGAATGGTAGATTATTTTTAAATAAACATAATATTTTTATTGTATATCAATTTATAGTTTTATATAACTTTGAATAAAAAATATTAAACATATTTTCAGCAAAGTTTTTTAGGGAAGGCTAGAATACAATGTGCTGAATATTTGCAATCAATTGGTGTAAATCTCATGAATCCCAATACTTTATCATTTGTATGGATTACAGATTTTCCTCTATTTATTGCTGATGAAAACGGTAAGAAATATTTTCTCTTTATTTTTTGCAGGAAAAAAAAACAAACCTCTATTTGAATTATTATAAAGCTGCTAATTCTAATTTGAAAATGCTATTTTATAATATTTTACTTACAACAATAATAAGCTGAGGGTGTTAGAGGTTTAATAAGGTTTTCAGTGACACTGTTATTTTCTAACATTTGTAGAATACTTCTGATTATTTATTTTGACAGCTGAATTATTTAATTAGGTTTTTTGTTTTAACATTCACTTCTTATATTTATAAGGATAAAAATACTTTCAGAACCATTTAAATACTTAATTTATTTATGAAGTAAAAAGAGCATTTAATGTAAAAGTTCTGAATTTTATGCCTGGTGAAGACTTGTAGCCCATCATGTTATTGCTCTCGAAATTGTGAAACCATAATCAATAAACTACATAAATCCCTTGGCCAACAACTGGCAGTTGTTGAAGTGCCTAAATCTTTGCAGAATTTTTATAAGAACATATTTTTTATACTTTTTTCATTATTTTCTAATAAGTTTGGCCAAAATAAGTGAAAAATATTGTATTTAGCATTTTAATAGATGTTTAGGAAATGCACCATAAAACTCTGGTGTCTTTTTCTGCATTAAAGGTAAAATCTTTCAAACACGGTAAACTTCCAAATAATAATTTTTCAAATTTTCTGTTATTTGAAGCAGTTATTTGAATTTAAGAGAAAAAGTTTTTTATCATTACAAATTTCATTAATTTTCCATAATTATAAATAAAATTTTGAATAAGGAAAAGAAATTCTAAATATTCTTTTTTGATTCTATATTTTAGTACAATTATAATTCCAATTAATAATTTTTTATTAACTATTAGACTGTTTCTTAAAACTAAAAAATACCAAAATGTAATAATGTTTGTATTATAGTGTCAGAACAAAATATATATGAGGGACGCCGGTTTCTCATCTGCATCAAAGGGTTAAATTTAATAATGCGACAGCACGTCAAGGGTTAAAGCCATGCCTATCTCAGTTTTCTTGATCTTAGGCTCTGAGTTGCAAGAACAGATTTTTTTATGGTGTGTACCAAGCACGGAAGTTCCACTGTTTAGTGTTCAAGCATACTTGGTACTCATTTTATCAATCCACTGAGGGAATGATAGGCTGACTCAACCTTGCCCAGTCCAAGGATAGAACCCCAGACATGTGGCACAGGAGTACAAAGCGATACCACTCAGCCACCAAGCGTCACTTAAATGTGCAAAAGTTAAATAAATTTTACAAGTTAGAAGATTTGACATGGTTAAAAATCAGGTGTTAAATATCTTGTATTTAAATAAAGCAATTTCTTATATATTAAAAATTCATTCAGTATTTTTCATTCTATGTATTGATTTTTCTTTATTACTTTGCTTTATTTTTCATTTATTTTTATTTATAACACAGTATTTAAAAATTAAATGTTGGCTTCATTTAACAGTTCTAAGTAAGTAATCAGTTAACTGAAAAAAAAAACTTGTATTATCATTTTTACTAAACAATTTTAAACTTTTTTTAAAATTAAAGAATTTTTTTATCACCATTTTTTTAAAATTAGTTTTTGTCTCTTGCATGGGGAAACTTTTCCACTAATACGAATGTTCACTATTTGTATTAATTAAAATATTGTTGTTTTTATCAAAATATTATTAACACTAATTTTTTTTTATGCTATATGATGATAAAAATCATGTTATTAATCAATGTATGTCCAATTGCACTTTAACTAAAGCATAATTTTTCATTTAAATATAAATTGGCACATAAATTTAAAATGATATTTCTTTTTTTTTTTTTTTTTTTTTTTTTTTTTTTTGCTTTTTCAATTCTCAGACTAGCTAACGTTTGGGAATTCTCATTTTGTTTTTGCGCATTTCTTCATATCTACTTAGCTATTAGATTGAATTTAACACCAAAGCATTTTAACACCAATTATGAAATTCATTAATTGAAATATTTTTTAATGTTCCTTAGTTACTTATTTTTTATTGCTTACTTTCTTATTGACCAATTTTTTGTCACTTGGAATTACAAAAATTTGTAGGTTGATAGTAACTTTTATTTCAGCCAGCTGTGCCATTATGTGCTTTTATTTATTGTTTAAAAAAAGTTCAAGTATATAGGAAAGATTTGTTGATACTAAAACTAGATTGAATAATATTCATTCAACTATTACAATAGATTAGAAAACAAATTCTATACCTTTGGAACACTTTTGTTAAATGTTGGAAAAATTAAAAGATTTTTTTATTTTATTTTGCCAGAAAAAGGGATAAAGCTTTAAACCTATCATCAGAATAGACCAAATGTGATTCAAGAAAGTTTCACTTCAAGTTTGTTCAAATTATTTGAATTAACTATAAGTCATATGATAAGTGTTTTAACCGGTATTTTCCTGTCAAATATTTTTTGACATGCCACAGTCGTTCTTTTCAAAACGAACTCAGGAAATGGATAACACCTACCTTTAATCCTGCAATCTTGGTTGTATCTTAAGTAAATCCAGCAATCTTCTGATTCCTTATTTTCACTAATGGAAGTTGTACTTAAAAAAAATTTTGCGATACCTATTTTTAAATTTTAGGTTTATACAGTACATAGAGATCTCAAAAGTATATGATTAAGGGCATTCTTTACGGAATGCGTTAGTAACCATATTTGTTATTGTATATGTTAGTAACTATATTTTTTTATTGCTTTGAGACTTATCATTTTGTGTTATAGTGAAAAAATAATAAATTATCATTGAGAGATGACAAAAAAAGCCCTTTTTTCTCACTAATAATACAGTTTGGTCCAATCTAGATTCCGCTAAATTTTAAGAAGCTCTAAATATCGAAGTACTATTCTACAGCAATAATTTTTTTCAAAGTTAAAAATATATACCTTACGTATATTAGAAAGGTCAACTAATAAAAAAGTTATTACGTAAACATTTAAAAAAGTGTTAGGCAGATCAACTTTAAAAAGTTTTAGAGAAGTCAACTATTTGTAATAAAGTATTAAGAGAAAACTGAAGTGGGTGTGAAAAAGACCCATGTAAGGATAAACCCATCTGTTATACATGAATATATTATAATTATCTAAGATTACTTTAATATCCTTTTTAATTGAAAATTATAAGTTTAAGGATGCAATAAATATAGCAATATCAAAAGTATATTCAATTCCATTAAGTTCTTTTCATCTTTAACACAAATGAAGGATGTCGCAGTGAATTTAAATTTGTAATTATTTATGGTGTTTCTTTCAGTTTATACTTATGTGAATATAGTTGCCTACTTTGAAATTCTTACGGAAGTTTTTTTGCTTTGTTTTCGACAAAAAATAAGCAACAAAATTAATTGAACTCAACTTTATAAACAGTAACTTCAATAAAAATGATTTTTCACTGAACTTCTTGAACGTGTCTACTAAATATTCACATTAATTTATAGGAATTTTATAGGTCTGCTGATACATTTAAAATGGTAAAATTGACTTACACTTAGATTGAATTTGGAACTACTGTTTTACTTTAATATTTAATAATTCTGAAAAATTGTTTAAAAAAATCTTTTTTCATTGAATATAATAGATTGTATAACTGTCAAACATTTATAATGACGATTATATTGAAAGGAATATTATTTTTTATTTATAAATTGTTTTCTCTTACATTATATAGTTCTAGTTTGGTCTATCTCCAATCTTCTGTTTTTCCTATTGTAGTTATTTTAATATTCAGTGCACACTGTTTCTCTTTATTTGATCACAAAATGTTCTTTTTCTAATAGAAATATTTCACAGAGTATGATTTTTAATAAAATAACACTGCTATTTTTTAGTAATCTTTTTAGTTGTTACAAATAACAACACAAGCTAAAAATCTGTTAAGCTTGTTTTACTTTTAATAATTTTAATTTATCTTTATAATAAATATGAATTTAATTTTAAAATAATTATTACTACTTCTAATTAGTTCTCAAATAATAATTGGAGAATATCAAAATAATTTAGTTTGAAAATAAAGTAGAATTATATATCTTATTGCATATAAGTACCTTAATTATTATATTAGTTTTAACTTCAATTGCGATAGATTATAATAACAATCTGTTTGCAAGTATTGATATTTAAATTTCCATATTTGTAACCTAACTTAACATGCGTTTTTTATTTATTTTCTTGATTTTAAAAAAGAAAAAAACAGATTTTAGTTATGTAGTATTTGCAACTTTTTTTTAAAAAAAATTTTTTTTACATAGGAAAATTAGAGTCAGCTCACCATCCATTTACTGCTCCTCATCCTGATAATATAGACTTAGTTTACACTAATCCATCTAAGGTAATATTATACATAGTGCATTTCAAATTACATTTGTTGACTCTGTATGTGATGTGTTATTTTAAAATTTTATGGTGTATAGATAGTGAACTCAGTTTTAAAAATAATTAGGTTTTATTAAAGAGAGAAACAGAATCTGATTTTATGTTTAAGAGACGATGTGTGAACAGGCTTGATATAATAAATTTTAAGTTAATAAGTTTTAGATTGTGTATATGTTTGTGCGTAATTTTACCATTAAAATTTATATATCTATATATATATTTCTCTTACACGGCGATAAAAAAAAGCCTCATTACAACTCCCCGAATGGCAATGCTAGAAAATCGACCAATGATTGCCGCTAAAAATGTCACATGCCAAATCTAGCTGAGGTGGCTCAACATATAGCTCTTTTAAAAACGGAAACTGAAATAACCAGAGAGAGAGCATTCTCACCAAATGTCAGCTATCACACCTTCAGCTGCAGTAATCTTATACTATTAAGCTACGCAAAAGTGAGTAGTCTTTGTCGATATATCTCTATTTTAGTATTTTGTTGAAAGCGCTTTTTTCACAAATTTATTTATTACGAATTTATTTGACGATTAATTATAGCCAAAATTTTAATCTTTTTAAAGAGATATCAGTTTTAGAAATTTTATCTTAAGATTTTATACTATAGCACATTTCTTTTAAGTTTAACGAATTACATGTCATTTATTTGAATTCAAATTTATTTTAATGACTTAGTATTTACTAAAAAGATGTAAATTTTTTTTTTAAAAAAAAGTTGTTATATGAATTTGAATGATTGTTTTGAATTCTTAGAATTTTGTGCATTTGCAATGTACCTAAGTTAGTAGCGAAGCAAGCCATATTAGATTGCAAAGCAATTTTCGGTGGTTGGCGAGCGTTAGCGAGCAGGGGATTATTTAGTAGGTCATGAGCCATCAATCAATTTGAGAAACTCAGTACATAAATAAATTGTAAAGGTTGTTACCTTCAGATTTTTATGTTTTCAGCTAGAGTTAAATTGATTTACAAATTAAATGGTCAATAGCTCAAGTCATATTATGCAGAAGTACAGGAACAATATAAGATGTTGTGTTTTTTTAAGCTTAAACATAAAAATAAGTTAGAAATAGTAAGTGCGAAGTTTTATTACAAAATTTAACCACTAGGACCACTCATGCGCAGCTTTATTTGGTAAACCATCCATACATGTAAAGTATATGACATCCTAATCATTTTTTGTATTTTCTTTTTGATTTTATTTTGATTATTAGTTTTCTATAGTAACTAAAAATATAATTCTAAAAATTAAGGTTAAAATGTGAAAGTAATAATAATTATAAAAAAAAAACGGCTATGAAGTTATGAAATGTACAGTGTTCAAAATAAAAAAAAATATCACCCTACATAACTATAGTTCAAATTTTCACAAACTAAGTGTCACTTTTAAAAGTACAAACGGATGACTTCCTGACCTCAAATGTGCTAATCATTCATAAAGTTATGAAATCAGTTATGAAATCAGTCTCAAAAACGTTTTTGCTCTGATTAAATATACACCTTTTTTTTCCGATGGATTTAGATTCTTGACTATCAAAGTATTGGAGGGGGGTTGCATCAATCTGAAAACTAAGGTCTTATTAATTTATTTAAGAAAAACAATTGAAAGTTTAAGCCCTTTAATGTTAATTTCACCACTTGTTGCCTAATTTTGGGAACTTTTTAGTGGCTCAAAAATTAGCCTATTTGAAATCAGCCCTTAGAATCATTAAGATTGGCACTTAATTAATGAAAATCAAATCATTACAAAAAAAAAAATTTTAAATTATATCTTTTTATTTTACACATTATACAAAGTGTGTTTAATTTTTGATAAAACGAAAATGTCTTAATCTCTCTCTGTCTTGCTATTCAAATGTTATTTGTATTACTATTATAATTACATTTTATTTTAGAAACATAGCAGTTTTTGTGGACTAGTAAATGACATTTCAAAGCCAAATTTTATATCTTTGTGTTATTGCTAATTTTAACCATATGATTATGTCCTCATATATTTTTAATTTAATGGATCAGTTTTGTTAGTTATTAAATAAAACAGTGTTGTTATATCCTGGGGTATATAATTCAGCTTCTATTCCATATTCCTATTTAAATTATGACATTACTAATGATTTCTATTTAGAAAGTAATGGGATTTTCTCCTAATTGTTTTCTGAGAGCAACAAATGCTTATGAGTACTTTTACAAATATGTTTTAATAAGTAATTCTCATCTTTGTTCTTATATGATAGAATCTTTATAAAAAAGGCATTTTTAAATTTTATTTGTTATTCTAAAGAAGATAAAAATTAAACTACTCTATATTTAACTTATTAAGTTGGCTCAAATAATTTTTATGCTGAATTTTTTAATAATTGAAAGATGTCTCTAAGGATTTATTTTATTGGTCAGCTTAAGATATTTCATAATAATGCAGACATTTTTGTACATATAATAACATGGAAATAAACATTTATCTTTTTTTAATCTAACAAATTAGTTTTTTTGGTATTAGGTTTAAATGTTTATTATTTATTTAAGAAAAAACTATACTCCTTTATAGGACTATACTCCTTTATAACTCCTTTATAGCTGATTCTGCAATGATTTTTCTGTTTTGTTATGATGCAAAGCACTAGATACAGTGCACTAGTAGTGTGATACAGTGCATTAGTTGTGTATAAAATATAATATTTTATTGCTGTATATTTCCTATTTTGCATGTATGTTCAATAATTTCATTATGATATTAAAATGTAAGAATAAATGTACAAAGTTTTTTTAAAGTTGTTTGAAATAAAATTCCCATAAATGTTATCACTGTTATCATAATGCTTATTAGCTAAGCTATTTTCTGAGAGATCCTTAGTATAAATTCCCTATACCACCAATACAGTTAATTGGTTTGTACAAGGTATAAATTGTGTTCTACTGTGTTTGGTATAAACATTGACAAGTAAGGAAAGATTTGTCAAAGAATTTTGTGTTTGTTTTAAAATCTAGCTTCTTATATTTTCCTATTTTGTCTCATGGTCTAGGTACGAAGTCAACATTATGACTTGGTTCTAAATGGTCAAGAAATAGGGGGTGGATCTATACGTGTACATAATGCCCCACTTCAGAAGTATATACTTGAAGATATACTAGGAGTAAATATGTCTTTTCCTTTTAGAAAAAAATTATTGAACGAAATTTTTTCTCAATTTTTATTTATCATTGATTAATTGTAGTTAAAAATGTTTTTACCTTACTTATTCCTTAAGAATACTGATTAGTTTTTTTCTCACCGCACAAATGAAGTTTTTCAATTCAGCAGCATTATGGCTTTACAGTTATAAAAACATGTAAAACAATTTTAAGACTTATTCTTGATAATTTATGCTGTTTTTCTGTTACTATTTCAATTTTTTACACTGAAATCCATTTTTTTTCCTTTTCATTTTTATACGCTGACTTGGTCAGCTGCAGAACAATAAAATAAGAAGACTAATTTATACAATTATGACGTTTTCTTTTTTTTTTTTTCAAGTTTAGGCCGCATTTTAACACACAATGCAAGTTTTTCATTTCAGCAACTTTATGGCTTTATAGTTAGGAAAACATGTAAAACTATTTACTGTTTTTAAAACTTATTCTTGATAATTTATGCAGTTTTTCTATTACTATCGCAATTTAGTACTCTGAAATTCTTTTTTTTCTCTTTTTTTTTTCATTTTTATACACTAATTTGGTCAATGTCAGAACAATAAGATACAGGCAGACCAATTCAGTTTAACTGTAAAATGAAATGTACAGTATAATTTCAAATTTTTATGTGCTAAAAAATATTTAGTGATAAAAAGTGTCAGTATTTAAGGTTTTGACAAACAGAAAAAAACAATTATGTTCAACTTTTTTTTCTCCATCAAGAGACATTCTTGAGTCAACCATAAAGAAATTCTTTAAATGAATTTTATGCACAAAATTTTTCAAGATCCCTCTGTTAGTGCAACAGCTATAAGACTCTAGTTCAAAATATGTTTATCAGTTTAAAAAACAGTTTTTGATGATACTACCAGCAAAATTGTAAAAGACCAGAAAATTCATCTGACTCTATTTGTCTGAAAATATTGTTTCTTATTAACTCGTTTCTTTCATAGTTCGCATTAAAAATTATTGTAGTTCGTTTTATCGCATTAAGATCTGAGATCTGTAGTCTCTCGAAAATAGAGTTTCTTTCATTAACCGATAAAGAGTTGTGATCACATAGTCAGTAAGAGTACTTTTCCTTAATTTTTTAAAAGAGGGTACATTGTTAAATTATTATTATTATTATAGTATGATTGCTTTTTAAATATAAGCAGTAACTGCATTATTTTTATAATCTTTTCTCTTTTTTTTTTACCTCTACAATACATTGAGATGTATATATGCAACAAATTGATTTAATTTTTTTTAACCTGTGTAGAAAATAATTTTTTATAGTTTAAATTGTAAAACAAAAATGATTAATTCCATAGTTATTTAAAAAATTCCTGTTAATGCTGAATTGATTTGCAAAACACCTGCATATCATATGGATAAATATATGAAATGATGCTCGTGTTTTGAAGACTTAGTTAATAAAACGCATTTTTTATGCAAGTTATCTGTATGATGGCTTACTGTTTTATGTCTCGTGAATCTCATTATTTTTCCATTATTTTGTCAGGAAAATTCTGCTGAACTGCAACATATGCTCGATGCTTTGAGTTTTGGTTGCCCTCCTCATGGTGGTATTGCTTTAGGTAATAGTTGTAACTTCATTTTATACTTAATGCATAAATTTTATTATTAACTCGAATTGATTGTTTAACTATACTAAACAGCTTCACTCGCCAACCCCTGTGTTGGTCTCTCATTTATCTTTGTTTGTTTTTTTTACTTACTATTCAAGAAATATCTATAAATAATTTTGTTTAAAAAATATATAATTATCATACTTTTATGTTAGAATATTTTGTTAAAATATTAATCATAACAAAATGAAAAAAAAATCTAAATACAGTGGAATGGAAGTAAACTGCTATTTGAAAAGAAACTTCAATATATTTTAAAACAGGATGACAAAAATCTATTATGTAACAAGAAGTAGCCATTCCCATCAGTGTCCCCTCAGCTAAAAAAAAAAAATTCTGTAACATCCTTATGGTTAAAATAGCATTAAATGTACAGATTTTTGAATCAATCTATTGTGTGAAATCACTTTATTGTTGAAGATGATGTTTGCATAGACTGACAAAAGACAACAAAATGATTAATGTCATGTGAAGTTCTCTAAAAATCCTTAACTTATAGATACCAAAAACACCATAATTGCTTACACACTTGGTTAGGATAATAAAAAATCACATTTGTTTGAGATCATGTGTATTTACATGTGTTGATCTGCACCCTTTTCACATATCTAAAGTACACTGTTTTATCACAGTTTTAATCTGTTGAAGATAATAATATATAATTAATCAAAATAAATTAATTAATCTTATGATGTTGAAGAGTTCAATTACAGTTGAAAAGTTAAAAGCAATCTTAACACTTCTACAACATGTTTGATAGGTATTTCAAATTAATATTTGATTACTTAACACTTTTATTAAACTATGTTAAAGCCACATTGTTAAAAATTTTATTTTCTCAATGTTGAGATATAGCTGGTTAGCAGCTTAATTGGATAACTTAACTTGTCCAATCTTAAGTGTATTTTCTCTCATAATTTATGTAAGTTTAATGCAGAGCCACCATTGGTGAACTGATTTTAGTCTGTGAGAATATAGATTACTATTTATAAGGTTTGCTATATTTTCTTTTAAAAAATTAAAATATATGTTCTAAGGAAGATGATAAAAAATATTCAACATCATTCAAATTTATTAAAAATTGTTTTAGAATTAAGTTTTTAATAAGTTTAAATATCTTGAAATTGAATTGATATTTGGACCAATGAGAATACGCATATTTACGTTTAAAAATATCTGTGAAGATAATATGGCTTTATTAAAGCTTAATTTGAAATTAAAACTGCCTGGGAAACTGTCTGATCTGGAAAGCATGTTTCTAAAATTAATGTTATCACGCTCTATTAAAAGCTTTTTTATTTAAATGTTGACAAATTATTCTATATCTTTATTTTTAGGAATTGATAGAATATTAGCCATTATGTGTGGTTGCAGATCTATTGTTGATGTAATAGCTTTTCCAAAATCATTAGATGGTAAAGATCTAATGTCTGGGGCCCCTTGTCCAATTTCTTATGACGATAAAATGCTGTACCATATAGAACCAGTAATACCTGATAATAAAAAGTAATACACTAAATTTTTGTACTGATTTATTCCTTTATTAAATAATTTTGTTTTGTCAGCGTTAGTATTATTTTATATGTGCAGTGAAGTTATTTTTTTAAGCATAAACCAATTTGGCAAGCAATAAGCTTTAATTTCCTTATAATTGATAGATTNTTTTTCGTTTTTTTTTTTTTTTTTTATACTTTCCTATAAAATTTTTAAATATTATTAAATATAATAAAATAACATTTAAATCCTTTCATTAATGCTTTACTCTTAAATCTTTCAACTATACATGCTGGGGAGAGAAGTCTCTAATAGAATTCGGAACTAATCTACTCATTTAGTTATCCAAATTCCTTGTTGGATAATAGAGCTATTTTCAATTTCATAACTTTTTTAATCTAATTGAAAAAGATTGAAAAAAAGTGGTTTAAGAATTATAACATTTCTGGCTTGTGTTGGGAGTAGTAAAATATCTTTGACTACTGAAACATATTAACAGTTATTGAGTAATTGTGATGGTTAGTTTACATTTAAGAATATTAAAAGCTTTAAAATTTTAACTTTTACTTTACTTTTTGAAAATTTACAGTTGTACATAATTTTTTACATGTTAGTGCATATGTTATAACTGTAAATAAAATAAGGTAGTCACATTTATATCACTCATCTAAAAATTTTAAAAATGAAGTGGTTTTTCTAGCAGTTTTTTCCCTTTTTTTTAAAATAAGTTACAGGACTATTTTGAGCCTAATTACAGCCAATTTATTTGGTTTCCAGCAGAAAATACTTAAATTTATTTAATATTGCGTGAATCTTGTATAAGCAAGTCAGAAGAAACATTTAAAGTTATTTTCCATTTCGTATCATAATTTACCAAGCATATTTTATCCTTGAACAAAAACAAAGGATACTTTTTTCAAATGTCGTTGTTTCTATTTTATTATGTTACTTTTTTGTCCAGTGTATAGTGTTATTATTTTTCCGTATCCTGTTTATGATTTTTGGCAATTTGAAATTTTTCTTACTTTTAATAAGTTTGTGGTTTCAAATTTAGACTTAGTACGTATGAATATACATATAATGATTTAAGTTTTAAAAAAATATATATATTTAATTTCCTTCACATTTAGTACAAAAATTATAAACTCAATAAAAAGTAATAATTTTTTTTGTATCTGTTAATAAATTTAATAAGCAGGCTTTCTCTGTAAGTTAAGTTTCGATACAATACAGTTGTTGCATCGAAATATAATTTTTTTAATCACAAAAAAATTTCTATTCAATTTTACTAAAAATACTTAACCTTACTGATATCCGCTTTTTCTTAATCTTTGATTTGAATAAATGTTACTGCAAAAGTTCTTTGAAATACCTTTTTAATTGTAAAAGGAATGTATAGTAATATTTTATAACATCATCATTCGACCTCGTCCCTGTTGCTTCTTTTTCATTTCTGCATAAACTTGGGCTTCTTCTTTAAGGGCAGTTCTTTTCTTTTCAAAATCTTCATCATCGCTAGATTCTTCTTCTTCTACAATAAGAAAAAGAAAAAATACATTTTAATTTCTGTGAAAAATGCACATAGTTTTGGCAATTAGCTGTGTAATTTTAGATTAAAGATTAGAATTTAACTATTTATTTAAAAACATTTGATTAGTTATTATATTTACTAGCTAATAATTATGTTAATATTATGTAGCAACTTATAAAATTCTTACCTATTAAAATTACTTAGGTTACTAAGTTTCATTATTGTTTTCTTTGTGACATAAAAAATAAATTAATAATGTAATAAGTTTGTTTATTATGGATTGTGCACAAGTTATAGTTAAGTTGTTTTGATCTAAACGTAATGCACTAAGCAGTTTTTTTAAACATCTTATTGAATTATTTTTAATTCCACTGGAAATGTGCACATACAGCAGCCTAATAAATAATGATAAAAAAATAACTAGCATAAAATATCAGGAAATGAGGAATAAAAATAAAATATTTATAAAACATACAACTTCTTTACAAAGGAGATTTTCAGGAATTAATGTAAAGTTTTTGAAACTCACTGTTAAATAACAGAAACATGTGAAGATTGTTTTGATGCAATATTATAAAAACTGAAACATTAAAGCCCCAGTTAATCCAAAGTCAATTAGGATGGGAAATAAATTTTTTTATGTTTTTAAGAAAGTAGAAAAGCCTATGAGATTTTTAAAATATTTATGCGAATTGTAATTTTTTGTTAATCACATATATTTAGGACATGCTTTAACAATATGAACACTTTATAGTTTGTGTGTTATTTGTAAGTAAACTAACTGCAAACTTCACAATATTTAAAATTTTTTTTGAATGTTTAGGATTGTTTTTTTTTATATATAAATAAAAATAATTAAAATTAGATTGAATGATTAAAATTAATAAATCATTTACCTGTTGCCTTCAATTTTCTAGCTGCTCCCGCAGAGGGCACTAGTTTTGGAGGCTCAATTTTTTGTAGGAACTAATAGGAAAGAACTTGATTAGTAATCACTGTTCATAATATTTGTTTCTTTAATATAAATTGTTAAACAACATTTAAATCAATACCATTATTAAATGAAAAGCTATTACCCCAAAATTCTTGCTTTTTACAATATTAAAAAAAGTAATGTAATACTAATCAAATACTATTAAAATATCAGCATTATGTAAAAAAAAAATTATAGTATGATTATCGTGTCTTTTGTAAACATATTTTCTTTATAGAAATGTTATGGTCAAAATAATTTTAAATCAAACATTAAAGTATGCATTATACTAAGTCTTTATCTGTTTGAAAAATCTCTAAAATTTCATAAATAGATTTTCTGCTGAATTTGCTTAAAAAATATTTGTCATCTTTTTATTTGAGATATTACATCATTATATTTTCCTTAAAAATTGTTGAGCAACTTATATTTTAAAAAAAGATATACTTTTTTATAATTATAGTTTTTATTACTATATGTAAATAACTGAAAAAAGTTAAGATTTAATAAATATCTGTTGTTAATCTCAAAAACAAATTTCCATCTTATCCAAATTATTTTTCTTGAGATCATTTTAAAAATGCATAATAACATCTGCAATTGAATTTAGTGAAAGAATTTATATATACTTGTTCATCCTTTAATTTAGCTTTGAGTTCCTCTAAATCTTGATCTTTCAATGTATCAGAAATTCTCTCCAAGTATTGTTCAATTTTCGAAACTATGACTATGGCTTTTGCATCTGGAGCTGTTTCCTCTTCATTACTCTATAATGATATCATGTTTTTTCTTAAATCTTCTCATAAAACATATTTATAATGTAATGTTTTTAGTGTTTGTGTGTATTTTGTATTTTATTACAATTATCTAAGCAAACTTAAATGCAAATTAGTGTTAAAATAAATTCATTCATCTTAATAAATATTTTTTATCCCTCTAATACAAAAAATAAAATAAAAGTTTACATGTCTATAAAACAATTGTGAAATTATTGCAATAGGATTCATAATCGGTGGTTTCTTTTCCCTATAACTGAACATTTGTCTAATAGATGTTAACATAAGGCTTTAACATCTTTAAAAATGATCTCTAATTTTACCAATATTTTCACATAAATATATTAGTATTTTTAACTGCTTTGTATTAGTTTTTTTTTGGAGAAAAAAAATGCAAAATAATTTTATAATTTGTTTTGTTTATTCTGTAATATTTTTTAAATTTATTAACAACCACTTACATTACAAAATCATTTCATAGTATTTTTCTGTTCTATTATACTTTTTTTATTTTTTATCAACTACATAATTCTTCAAGTGTCTTAAAGCTAAAATATATTTCTTTATTTATGTACTAAGTTCACAGTATAAAATGTTATTCTTAACTAAAATTTGAAATTTCCAAATGTCATAAGAGGTTAAGTTGAATTTTTAATTTTTTACAACCGAAAAAAGAATCATTTTGATCAACTGTTCACTATACTGTGTTTGCTTAAATAATCTCCAGAGGGGATGGGTCCAAATAATTTAAAATATTGTCTTTTCATATAGCTACTTACAGAAGAATTAATTGAAATTCCACTTTTTCAAAATATCTTAAAAAAAAATATCTGTATTGCATCATTTCCTGTTTCAATGTCATATCAGTAGTGTAACGTGCAAAACACCTATCCAGTCTGGTCTTAGCATTCAACATAAAAATGCTTACACAAAACTTGACAAACTTAAGATATTTTCTTTTCCTAGATTATTTTCTTTTCCTATGCCAAATAGATAAAAACAAATCATTCTGACAATTCCTGCTATGCTTAGGATAATAATTGTTGAAACAATTATTAGACATATTTATTAGGTACAATAATGATATGCCAATTCAAAATAACTCTGGAGTAATTAAGGAGGCAGAAAAGAAATATAAAAATACATACTTAATAGATTATGAGTCAAATGATTTAATTATAGGGTACCACTGATTTAAGTTTAGTTATCTAGAATTAAATTAATTATTTTACTAAACTTAGCATTTTTTTTAAAACATCACTTTTTATAATATTTTTCTCAATTATTTTTTTACATTTTATTTTATTATTTTTTTATTTGTTTACATTTTTGCTTTAAGAAACGTACTATACTTACTACCTCTTTCAAATACTTTTCCATGAGTTGAAGCTGTTGCCATAAGCCAGATTTTATATCTGCATACAAAGTTTTTATTCTCTCAAGTTCAGCCTCAGCCATTTCTCTCCTCTTCAATTGTTCTTCCTGTTTAGATTCTGCTTCTTTTAGTCTTTGTTCTAAAACTCTAAATTTAAAAGGAGAAATTATTAATGTATGAGAATTTTATTAGCTATTTTATTATTCATTGTTTTGTGTTTGTGAAAGACAGTAGAACACTGATTATTTGACGCTCTTGGTTTTCCAATACCTCTCCAGATGCATAACCAAACATATCTCAGGAAATTAATTAATTCAAAATATTTTTAACCTGTATATTGTGATTTTTCAGAATCGTAAATAATACTGATTGAATGTTATTCAAAATCTCTTGAAAACTAAATAAAGATGTGTGATTCATATATATTGCGTGAATATAGATTGAGATTCAAAATAATTCTTGTATATGAATTGATATTTGATTCATCAAACGTGTAAAAACAAATCATAATGACGATTTTGTACATTTCAATGTTGCGTTAAAAAGAAACTGTTTATTTATATGAGTCGTTGCATTATGAAGCTACCATTTCAAATACTGTTGTGTAACTTGTTTTATAATGTTTTTATTGTTGTTTCTTATGCCACACTAACTGTTTAATTAGACTTAATTAAAAATCTAATAAGTTCTAGTGTTAGCTTCTATTAACTGACATAGTCTTTACTCTAACTATTTGTGTATGCATTTATTTCTAGGGAATTACGCCTGCCGAAAATTTCCAATGTTAAGCTGTTAAACTGAAAAAATGTTAAGCTGAAATTAAAGAGCATGTTTGAAAACCTTGGATAGAGTATAAATTAGGCCCCAGATCTGCCCCTAGNATTTTTAAAAAAAATACTTAAAATAAAAGAATAATAATTTTAAAATTGAATAAATAAATAGTTATCAACTTTTTGGAAAAGAGAAAATTAAGGACAAAATTCTGTCCTACCAGCTGAGATTAAACCCTGGATCTCTCTGGCAAAAGTGGAACAGCCTAATTGTTATACCGCGAATACATATCAGCTTAAAGGTTTCGTTAGTTTAAAAGTAAATAACCTGGTGGCTAATTTGTACTCTATCCAAGGTTTTCAATAATACTCTTTAATTTAAGCACAACTTTGTTTTAATATGAATTTTTAAGAAGTGTACTTCCCTAGTAAGTTAAAAATTCAAACTGTCATGTATCTGACATGAATTTAAAAGAATGAGCATAAAGGTAGCATTTAAGCTATTGAATAAACAATGCGCTTCTTACAAAATATTGAAGCCAAATATTTTCTGCTGAACATTCTTGCTTAGAAAAAAATTCTATCCTATTTTTCATGAAAATATAAAATTGAATTGAACAATTTTGAATCCTTTTTAACATTTAAACATGAGACGTGCAAGAATTATATATGACGTATAAAAATTCCCTAAATACTTACACTTGAGGTGTAGACAACTTTGCACCTCGTAAACTCTCATTTTTTATTCGAAGCTCTGCAGCTTCGTCTTTCAAATCATTTAACCTCTGCTCTGCACTTGCTAATAGTTGTGATAGCTCTTCTTCTGTTGCTTTTTGGGAAATAAATCTTGCTTCTGCATCCTAAAAAAAAATTCCACATAACTGAAAGAAAATTGATTTAGATTTTTCTTATAATTTATTTTATGAAGTGAAAAGATTAGTTATTTGTTGAAAAAATTGCTTTTGAAGAAAAGCTTGATATTTATAGAGGTAGTAGCACTGTTGTACAATAGTTTCTGGAAAGTTTAATTTTATTCAACAAATTAATGAAGTAAATAAAAAATGAGTTATGAAGTAAGTAAAAAAAAAATAATAGAACATTTGTGTATTTATATACAATATAATATCTATGTGTCTTGTATAAAATATTTCTTTTAACCCTTTAACAAAATACAATTCTGGGTGTACATTTTTTTTTGGTACAATAGACTGATTTTTTCACAAGTTATTTAAAAGAATTACTGCTTTACTATCAAAGGGTTAAAGCTAAAGTCATAACTACTATACTGTTGTTTTATTCTAAAAACCTTCTGATAAATAAGTCATAAAGGCAGCCTACATTAATATCAGAAATTCCTATGGCTTCTTTTATCTTCTCAAATGCCTTATGAAGATTTTCCAGTTCAGATTCTTGACTAGCTCTTAATTTTCGCCATTCTTCAGCAGCTTCTGATTCTCTAAGTTCCATTGATTGCATCTGAAAATTACAATAATTGAAATTAAAAAATGTACCCAGTTAGTATAATAAACTAACGTTTTCAATTAATTAAAAATTAAATAATATACCAAAAATAAATATATGTAAGTTTAGAATATGATATCTGTCATTTGCTGACATAATTTTCTCATATAAACATTTTCTCAAACTAAAAATAGGAAAGATTTTTGAAATTTTATTTTGGGAAAGCTTCTAGATCTATATAACACTTTTTCAAAATTAGAAAAACTAGGGGTAAAGAATTTAAACAAGTTGATAGTTATCACAATGATGTATCACAAAATATACCAGAAATTATAGGTTGTCTTTTATAACGGTTGTTAAAGGAAAATTAAATTTTAAATTTACTTCAGTGGTGATTTGTTTTGGTTTCAAAGCTTTGCTGTATTCGCTGACTATGCGTTCTTTTTCTTGTCTGGCTTTTAAAGCTTCAGCTTCTGCTTTTGTCAGTTCTTTTCGAGCCATCTCTCGTCTTTCATGAGCCTTTTCTTCACTTGCCATGAGTTTGTTGAGATCCTCTTTCTGCTCTCGAGATTTTTCTTCGAGTTCTTCAAGTAAGGTAGGGTAAACTAATAGTTCCTATGGGAGACAAATTTTAAAATAAAATTGTTTGTCATTTATAAATGAAAAAAAGAAAATCTAATTCGTTAAAAAAATGAAAAGGTGATTTCAGTTCATTTTTTTATGAAATTAAACTCATTCATTGAAAGTTAGAAATATTTTACAATGTGCATTTGACTTTTTGAGAACACCCTCAAAACAATAACATCTTCAGTTGATACATGTGACCCAAATTAAGTGCAAAAAAGAAACTGAAGTAAAATTTAAAAACTATTTGGCTATATCAGTGTTTCAAACAACAGCTATGAAATAATTACCATAAAAATTATTTTCATAACAATAAAAAAAAATCAGTACAAGCCACTCATTACAAGAAATAAGGCTAAGATGCCTGCCTGATGTTTTTTTTCTTCCTTGCTTGGTTTGTAATCAATTTTTAGACGTTTAATTCAGTGTTCATATCAAATCTCTCAGTTAATGTTTAATTTTATTTTAGATAATTATGTAAGAATTTTCAAGAAATGGATAAGGCATACTTTGCACTATGTAGACTAATAGAATAAAGCAAAAAACGATATGAATAAAGCACAAATAAAATTACAGAAATGGATATTCGTAAGTCAATTTCGTACTTTTAATTGTGCTTTATTCATTGCATTGTGCTTTACTATATTTAGTTGAGACAAATTTTCTGTATTCTCTAAGCATGCTCATGTATGAAATTTTCAAATTATTTTATGCATAAATTTTTGAGAATTAGACTTATGATATAAAGGTTAAAGTCAAAATAGCATTACTTTCCTTAGTTAATTGAACAAAATATTTTATTACTCAAGAATATTTAGAGAAGACCCACTCTTTGTAATTGCTCCCGTATTGCTTTGTATTTTGACTGTATAATTTGGCATTCTATTAAATTCTTTTCAACCTTTTGATAGTCGTTCTCCATCTCTCGAACTCTCTGCAAATATAAAAATAAAATTAACACAAATGTTTCAACATTAAGTTAATTAATATGTATCTAAAACAAATAAAACATATTTGTCTTAGTTGTTTTATGATCTCTTAAAAAGTGCTTATTCAATTACTTATAAATGTTTAAATAGTAGTAAATCAATAAGATTAAATCAAAAGAATTTTGATATTCTTTAAAAATTGGAAATCTAGAAATTAATGTTTTTTATTTAATTAGTTTGGCAAACATTTTGACAAAAAAAATCAACAAAGACATAACATAAAACAAAAAATTTAAGCAAGGGGTGCCTCTTCAAGCAGTGGTTCTCAAAGGTGTTCCATGGAACCCAAGAGTTTCTTGGGTAGGTCACAGTTGTTCCATGAGTTAAAACTTTTTTATAACCAGTTATTATTTTTGAAACCTGCAAATGCAATAAATATTTTTTTTTAATATTTATGTTATTTTTATAAAATTTTGTGAATTAAGTAAAATGCCTGTAAGAAAGAAAAAGCAAATTTAAAAATAATTTTTTTTTCAATAAGAATAAATTGAATGAATTACTAAAATGATAAAGTCTCAAAAAAGAAGTACTGATGGTATTCTTTAATTTCTCATCGAATTTTAAAATTTAAAATGAAGTAACCAATTTCAAATATAAAGAATTATGTTTGATTTACGTATACGTCAGTAACTATTAGACTAAACGTTGCTGCAGACTTGCAAATTTAACTGCCGAGCATGAAACCAAATTTTAAGACAGTTATTTTAATTCAACTTAGTTTTTAGCATGTTCACATCTGCTGATGAAAGTTTTTTAAATGTCACGTTTCCGTTAAAATGAGTTCGAACGCTTAGGGTTCCATAACTGAAATTTTTTTTTGAATCGTTGCGTCAAAGGACTGCGTAAACTATAACGTTGATATAGTTTATGAAGTTCTAAGACAATAAATTATAACAATAAGTAATAAAGGACTACATAAATATTAATTTAAACAAAAATATTTTTTTTAAGGAAAATTGTACTAAATTGCACTGCTATAAAATATAAAAAAGAAAAACCTGTTACTAATTTGATGTTATTTATTCGTATAAGATTTTTAAACGACTACAATCTATTCTAAAATTGCATTATGTAGCATTTTGGCAACAAAAAATTATAAGAAAATAAATTATATTTTAAATATCTATGCATATATACTGTACTTTAAAAGGCAAAAATTGATGACTACTCAGTAATTTATGCCTTGAATTTCTATACATCAAGGGGCTTCGTCGTGTACTTATGGGGAGGAAAAAATATAAACTAAAATATCTGTAATATATTTGTTTAAAGTCTAATTTTTTACTCCTTCTATGTGGATCCATGATATCAATTAGACCTGTACGGAACCTTTGCTATAAACTTCTTCACAACATCCTTTGACTATTTTTTTTTTTTTTTTTAGGAACCTTAAGATAATGGACNCTATTTTTTTTTTTTTTTGTAGGAACCTTAAGATAATGGACCATTTATTCGAATCCTGTTAAATTTTCACCTAGTTTATAAAAATCGATTTGATGATTTTTTTTCCTTTCTTCCAACTAAATTTGCACAGATAGCATAAAATTTATTAAATTATTATTTTGATTTTATTTTCAAACATTGAACAATCGTTAAATGTTTAAGAGGTATAGAAATGTAAAGAATTTGAGATTTAAGATAAACCCAATTGAATAACCATGTAAAAATGTTTAAGAATATCCTATTTTTATTTTTTATGATTTCTATGAATGGAAAATGAGTAAAACGCTGTCTTTAGGAGCCATGCCTTGCATTTATCTATATGATTAAAACAGAAAACAATATTTTTTAATTTACAACACTAAATACTTTTTTTGAAAAAGAAATTGTAATTATTAAGAAAGAAAATAATTTTTTGGATAACACTGGCAAATAGTGTTTATTCAAAAGCAAGAAATGTAAGGCAGTTCTCTACCTGAAAATTGTCAACAAAAAAAAGCACAACATAATATTTTAATTCACAAATGGCAATAAAAGGAGATATGTTAAAAGAAATTTTTTGACTACAAATAAATTAGTTGGAAAATTAACTAAAAAACATTATTGATAAACCGGAAATTCACAACGATTTTAAGAATTACACAAGATAAAATGTATTTAAGAAGTACAGTTAAATAACTATCAACTTACTCGTTCTGTTTCTGATTCAGCACGTTCAAGCTCAAATTCATTGTACATATTCCAAGCTATATCTCTCGCCTCCTTTTTGTATTTTGCTAATTCTTTTTCCTTCATTTTTATCTCATATGTTAAAGCGTTACTTTTTTTTATAAGATCCAACACTTTCCCGTCCAGAATTTCTACAGCTTCCTTAAATAAAGGTTATTTTAGAAAATACAGTTAAAATTAGCAGCAATAATAATTTAATTATCTTAAGCAATGAAAAGCATTATTTGTTACATAATCGAAATTATGATTCCAATAAATTAAATCCTCATACCATTCTTGAAATTTTGTTTTTTTATTCATAAATTATATATTTTTGTGCAAAAGGACTTTTCTGAAATGTTAACAATAAAGTGTATAAAAACTTTTTAATTCTATCCTCTTATTGCAATATATATTGGAATAAGACCTTACCGGACCTGTTTTTCTTGCGAGAATTCCAATTTCTCGTGAATGTCTCCTAAAAGATTCTGCAATGACATCCTCATCGCCCTAAAATTTAAAAAGAAAAAAAAAAGAGAGAAAGAAACAACATTAGAATTTTGTTCTGCTCTAGAGTATTTAAGCAACAGAGAAAATAACTACAATGAAGAAGTTGTGTTCTATTGTAACTTCTTGCATTTCATAAAACACTAAAAAATATTGTTAATTTAAGCTTACTTAATAGATAAATGAAAAAAATGAATATATACCTCGTTAGTTTTAAAAGAATAATGTTCGAATTAATTTGAGCAACATTAAATTTGATTGTTATGCTTTTTCGTATACTAAAAATAAAAAATATCTTTTTTTTACTATAAAAGGCAGACTTTGAAAGATAAGGAGTTAAAGAGGCTCTGGTTTTTATATCAAGTTTTATGTGTACTATTTATTTTATGTCTAGCGTAATGTTATACTATTTTATGTGAGTAGTATTTCAAAAAGTAATTTTCTCTATTTATAAAAATAGGAGGAAAATTTGTAGTTTATAAAAATAGTTAAAGGCATTCTAAAAAACAATCTCTGTGCATGTTTTTTTTTTTTTTTCTCAAAAAGAAAAACTAACAAAAAATGATTAATTTATAAATAACTTGAAAGCTTTTTTCTATAATTTAAACTGAAAATCATGAAAAAATAAACATTTAAAGATATGTTTTTTTTTTTTAAAAAGCGAATATTTGTTTTAAAAAATTTATTAATATGTCCCCTAAAAAAGATACTCATAAAAATTTTACCAGTTGAGAATAATCCTAACCGAGTAAATATTTGTATAATAGTAATCATAATGATACTTATAAACACAGATAATTTTACTAGAGTGTAATAATTATTTAAACAGTGAATTAGTGTTTTTCAAAATGGATTATGTATAAAAAAAGGAGTGTTTGTAGGGATGGCGGCTTATTTTATCAAAGAGGGCTCATCTATTGGGTGAAAGGGGCAGGTAGCATTAAAAAAAAAAAACGCTTAGGGAGAACATTGTATGCATATATATATATATATATATATTACTACTTACATTTTTAAAATTTCTACCCTTTTCAAACATTTTACGAATGTCTCGAAAATTCTCTCCATGAATTGTTGAACAAGAACGAAAGGAATTATAAAGTTAAAAGCGTTCTGCTTTGGAATCGAGGATTTATTTCCATCAAGTTTCACGATTATTTACACAGTACTGGCAATGCGAAAAAAATATATAACAAGGTTTCATAATTAATAATAAAACAGATGAAAACTGAGGACCAAATTGATAGACGCCTGAGTAAATTTTTCAGTTGGAATGATCTGATATACCACAAAATGCATTTTTTAAATTTCCAACAACGTCATCTGTTCACGAAAATATTATTACTAATTATTGTGTAAATATGTAAAAAAAAAAAAATCGCTTCCTTAGCAGATTGCTGCAACTAACTTAAACAAAAAATAAATTACTTCTAGGCCTTTGTTTCGTCTAATCTGTAAATCTTGAACTTGTACTCTAAGTTTCTTAATTAACTCTTCATTATCTTTAATTTTCTTATTGCTTTCTTCTATTTCGGCTCTTTCTTCTGATTCTGAAATATATATCATAAGGCCTTGAAATAATTACTTTCTATACAACATTTTACGTTTCGGGCATTTCTTAATATACAACTCTTTATATTTACAAGTAAAAATATTTTTTGCATAAATTAGTTATAAGATTAGTTTAGTTACCTAATAGCTGAATTCTTTGTTTTAGATGTTGAACGTCTCCTTGCAATTTAAGAATTCTAGCTTCAGCTTCTTTCACAGCTTGAAGAGGGTCCTTTTCTGTTGGTTTCTCCTCTGCCATAACTAAATCAATTTTTATAATAATGAAACCATTTTTGTTAACTAGTTAATAGAGCATTAAATCAAGGCAATTTCTTGTGTTTTTATTCAAAATAGTTGATTAGTGTTTTTGCTCCGAATACTGTACTTCGTAAGTTAAAATTACTTTTCAAATGTTTTACAACTAAATTATTAAATACTCCGTAGAAAAATGCAGGAAGATTTTGTTCCGAAATAAACGTTTAAGTCAATAGTTAAAAGAACATTATAAGATTGTCCCAATTATAGAATCGTTTGCTCAAAATGTTATTATTTAATTTTAATCATTTTGATATTAGCCTTACCGTCAAATAGGCTAATTACTCGGATATTTACAAAATATCGAAATGAAACTTTTCTAGTTTTTTTATTTGTCGCATAAAGAACACATATGGTTCAAAACTTAGCTTTCTGGCTTCATGGGAAGTATGAGAATTAGTGATAAGTGAATGAAAGCTTAGCCTATGATAATATTGCGCTTGTAGATTGCTAATAGATAAAAATATCGCGGATATTGAAATTTTGTTTCACTTTTTGGATAAAATGCTTGATTTGGTTTCACACAACATTTATTACCCCTTACGTCTATATATTAAAAATTTTGCTATAACAAATCTTTATAACTTTGTTTGAATTTTAGATAGTGTATTTCAACTTGGTTTCCTATTGTCCTTTTCACTAGTTGTTTCAGGATCATAAATTAGAGACGATTACCGTAAGAAAGGAAATTCTAATCTCATCTTGTATCACAAATGCCGGTTAATTTCAACTAAAAAGTTTGTCCCTTTATTTTAATTTAGAGCAAGGCAATATTGTTATCAATTATAGTCTATATGTGCTTAATGTGATGATTATATCTATACTAAGCTTTCCCAGTTTACTAAAATTATAAAATTGAAAAACTTAATTCTGGTTATATTTTGAAAAGTCCTACAGGATTTAATTGTGGTTTTTATATTTAAAAAAAAAATTAAATAAAGTTATAAAAGTAACTAGTAAAGTTTTTCAGCTTTTGAGTAATTAAATAATATTATTAAGAGACATTACTTCAATGTGCTTACCTGTATCAAAAGAAATATTTCATTTATGTAGATGATATGAAAGTTCCTATAAGCTATTTAGAATTGTTATTAAAAAAGGTTAATGAGGCATGAAGTCCTTTAATATGTATTATGTCTTATTTAATAACTTGCTTATATCTCGCATCTTCCTAACAAACGATCTAATTCTGGATTTAAGATTTTTTTTTTTGCCTTTGGCGATGGCGTGGAGACTGATGGTAGAAATAAAGAATCGTTGCTGTAGCAACCGTTGCAATCAAGAAACACAGCCAAGAACTTCAGCAGCAGAAATATATAATGGAAACTATCTATCCGATTTTCATTTAGTTTTTATTGAACGAGAAATATAACTATGGATGTACCGGGAAACCACCCGGCTAGATTTTCCTTAACCCGGTTATTACCCGTAAATCCGGCAATTTTACCGCGTATCCAGCGACTGATAACACTTGTTTACATCTATGCTCGAAGCAATCATATTCAGATTTAAAGCAACCTTAAAACTATTCAATAATAATAATAGTTGCAGTTTCGGAAATCTATAATCCAAGCATTCCTCCAGTTTCTTAATAATAATTAAAAGAAAAAGAAAAAAAAACTGAAATAACTGGTTTAGGCACGGAAAATTTGTTCTTGTGGGGATTTTTTATTTTAGGAAACATTGATGAAGTGAAATATGTTCGGTAGAGGAGCCCGCTATAGTGCAAATTCAGAAATCTAACACGGAGAACTATTTTAACTTTATTAATATGATAGTTAAATTAATACAAAATTAGAAATCAGGAATTGATATTTATTTTAAGTTAATAAAATCATCACGAATAAAATTCAAATATTAACTTACTAAATAAAATATTTTACGTGTGTAATGCTCTCACCCCCAAAAATATGCTTCAGCAAATGAGTAAATGCAATATGTTTTTAATAATTCGTATTTTTGTAAGTTTAAAATTTTATTGACGCTTCATGAACAAGTATATATATATATATTTTACAAATGGCACATTAATTATCATAATGCTATTACTAATTTAGATATTATTGAAGATTAATTTCTTAATAAAAGCATAAAGTAATGAAAATAAGTTATAACCAAGCTAATTTTTTTTTAACAAATGTTTGATAAAAAAAAATTTCAGAAGTACTCGTTTTAAAGGAAAATCTTTTTCCTAACAAACTTGTAAAGGAGGTAGGTTTAACCCCTTAACGATCGGTTAATTTTCAAGAAAAGTCATAAAAGTGCCTATTTTTTGGCTTTTGTATTTGTATTACGTATTTGATTAGTGCTGACATGTACTTTAAAATAAACTATCTACAATTACCTT